CGCTTTGAAACTACTTACTGGCAGTTTTGGCATCCACTAGCTTCTCACTTAATTTGTTCCAACCATCTACCACCCTGTTTTCAAAAGGGAACTTTCTAATGTTTTCTCAGTATTTAATATTGAACAGTTTATGAAGCAAAATTGTTGTTGATCCATGACTACCTCTTGACTCTAGTTCAGTCCTTTTAAAACTTTTGGCTGCGATAGGAGGTTGTACTTTCCCAAAGATACTCATTCACTGCTAAAGGCAAGTTTTATCAAATTGCCCTAAAAAGTAGTTTCAGCATCTTGTTTCATTCATTGAGGTGGGTCGGTTATGTGGATTGAGAAGTATATTAGATTTTTATAATAAATCTTTTAATACACTGATTACTGATTAAGTGCCATACAACCTAGTGTCATCAGATGCGGAGTTCTTTTTGCCTACCAGGGATCACGAGCCAGAACCTGGCCCCCCTCTTGAGAGGTGCAGGGAGTGATGGGATCACTTTAGATTTAAAGAATATCATCTTTGATATCACCAGGGAAGGCACCCAGAAAGATAGGTGAATCAAAACAAACCTCTGGCTGGTTTAAAAATGCAACTAAAGTCCCCCAAGTGCCAAAAGAACTCCCCAATAATAAAAGAAACAACCAAAACTTAGTGAAACTAGCTCCCAGCTAGTTAACTCCACCTCCCCGCTCATTGGGGGTAGGAGGGAGCCGGCCTGGGGAACCCTGGCTGACATTCTTCAGTTCTTTACAGATGTGCTTACCTGGTAGACGTGTTGCTCTAGCTCCTCTTTCCCATTTTACTTGGCATTTTCTTGCCTTTTAGGCAGTGTTTTTACACGAAAGTGTGCATATGCCAGAAGTTTTAGTGTAGCGGAGCTGCATGAGCTCAGGGTTTATTTCCCCTGTGCACCCTTGTATGGTCAGGATTCTCTTCCCTGGGGCCTTCGGGAAATGCCCGAATCTTAGTGGACCTCCTCCCTTCGGGTGGTCCTCGCCCTTAAGAGGCCCGGAAACGGAAACTTTCTGAAGAGTACACTGAAACTTCCTCAAACACACTTAATTCTTTTTTGTGCATAATCTCCATGGTAAATGCTCCAACTTTTCTTAATGGATCAACATCATACCATGAAAAGAAAAAAGTTAAAAAAAAATAATAATAAGTAAAAATAATTCACAATTTCAAATTGCTATAAATGCCTTATAATGTCACCAATTGTTATTTTATTCATTATGGTCTTAGAATGACATATAACATTCATTCTCCTCTGATGGTAATATTGTTTAAGAATATAGTTTACTGTACAGCATTTTTTGAATATGGCCATCCAAATATGTGCCAAATTTATACACAAAATATTTATAACTCCAAACTTTATGACTAAACGATTCAGAGGAAACCTTTGAACTAAGAACTTTGCACATATGTAAAAATAGTGAGAATCGGTCAGAAACTGAAGTTTTTATTAGTTCTCAAAGTTGAAAATGTTCTTCATAGAGAAAAATGCATTTAAAGTTCTCTACAATGAATATAGTACTATTAATTTATGACATATCTTGTAAGTTTTAATTAAGATTGCTGAGCGTTTGTAGTGGAAAATGTGTAAGCGGTAGGTCAGTATGTGTTGATATGAAGTCAAGAAAAATAACCCCCCCAAAAAAAATATAGAGATAATTGTAAAACACACACATAAATAGCTGCTGCCTCGTATGGGCCAATAGGCCTTCTGCAGTTACCTTCATTCTTATGTTCTTATGTTTTTATAATGAAATATATTGATTGGAGTAACTTTATTGCCCATATGTAAGTGATAAGACCCCTCATCTGGTCCTCATTCATCAATACAAGCTAAATAAAAAAGAGAATAGAGTATGAACTCTGTAAATAAATTGGCCAAAAAATAAATAAGTCACAACTTCTGCCACCTGTCACCTGTGGCTGAATAACATGGTGACCAATTTCGTTCCAACTTAACATGCTTAGTGCCGGATATGCATTTTCCAAGATGTAGAAGTCGCAACAAAATCCGAATAAAAACAAAGGAGAGAAAACAAGAAAAAAAGTGCTTGTCAGCTTTTCGTACAAAGGGACATAAGAAACATTGCCATTGGGCAATGTATTTATATGATATATAATAGAATACAACATAATAACGAACTAGCTCATAATTATGTGTGAAATCTGGTCCTCCAGGTGGCATCAGCGGTATATCCATTTTGTAAACCCCTCCTTACTACTACTTGTCTTTCTTGTGCATCCAACAGGTGCTTGCATCTCTTTATCCCTGACTGCCAGTAAATTGGAGGTGTTATCGTTATCAGTACCGGTTGCCACCCGTCGTGCACGCATTTATTTTGTAAACAATTTGTAAAAAAATCCATTTCTTAACATATTGGGCTGAAATTTTCACGATGCTGATGCCAAATAACGGGAGATTTGTTTAAAATTTTTCACTGTATTTCATATTTTGAAAAGTCTCCACATGTACCGGGCCCCTTAAGGTAAGCCAGGGGTCTTAGGCTGTATGTCTTGCCTAGTGGGGGGGGGGTTGGCTGGTGGGGGCACACTGCGGTTGCACAGCCTGCACTTTCTACAAGGTTGTTTCAGGGGGCCACCAATGTTTCTCCCAGACTGGTCATTCGCTGTGGTCTAGTCTTTGGGGGTTTCTTCTCTGTTTTTCTGTGTGTCATTATGGAGTTTTCCTTGGGGTCCTTCCTTTAATTTTATTAGGCCTAGCCTAGAGTGTGTGGGGTAGAATCTCCTTGCTGCCCCTTGACATTTCCCTAGGCCTGGTTGCCTGCATCGACAGGGTTTACCACCGTTACAGCCCCAGTGCCTGGGCTTTCTGCAGGACTCATTCAGCCTACAGACCTCGGAAAACCCCGCGGGCTCGGGGGTACCAAGGATACCACTTTTGACCCCGCTCTCATCTTGTGCAAATTTGAGGGTTGTTCGTCGCCGTTGCCACTCGGGGATGTTCATTCTTTCTGCCTCCGCCGTGTTGCTTGTTGGGTCAGTGACACCTTCGACCCAGAGTAATGTGGGACTTGTTCCCCCATGTACTCATTTTCACCCATTCTTCTATGGAAGCCCAGAAATTTCAAGCAGCATGTGCTTTGTATTGCCGGCTTTTGGTCCAGCAACACTTTAGGTTGTGTTCCCAGTTGGCTGCCCCATTTGTATTTTAGGGACTTGAAATTGGAGGTTTGGTCAACTCAACCTTGGTTCCATCTGCACCCCCTCTTCCCTCCCCCAGTTGTTTTGGTTCACTCTTCCCCATGTCTCTGGCTCTGAAGCATCTGAGGGTTTCGGAATCGGGGCAGGGTTTAGCTCGGAATGCGACTTGGGCAGATTCAGGAGTTGCCCCCTTCTAATTCAGGTGCAGAGGCAATTGTGCTGCTCTTTCCTGTTAAAGCTTCTGAGTTTTCCCATCCGACTCCCTCTTTTGAGGTTTTTCCTTGGGCTCTATCTTCCTTTCCTGGGTGGTGGGCGTGGCAGAGTCTACCATGTGCTGATTCCTGGGGTCAACGTCCCCATGGCCCGGTCTCTGACCAGGCCTATATTATAAGGCACTATACCTGACCGGGCACTTCATTATACACTATACATCTATACTATAAGTTTGAACAAGCCATCCTCCACTTTACACATTGAGATTGCATATTTTTCCCAAGGCTGGATGCCAGGTCCACCTTTCCTTTTTTTCTGGCATGAATTACGCCAGTGCATTATGTCATGCTCCTCTTCCCCTCCTAAGATCCATAACCAATTCCAAGCCTGAGACCCCTGGGTGTTTGTCTGGTGTTACTGGCCGGTGTTTCCACCCAGTCTTTTTCCCTGCCTGTTGTTTTCTGTGTCGCCTCTCCACATCTTCGCTCTTTTTTATCTGTTGTGGGCCCTTCCAACTCTCTGTCCCGTCTTCCTTTACAATTATCCTCTTGTCCTCTTTGACCCTCACAAGCATATAGCTATCTAGGCCAGTATCCACCTTCCTCCCTGCTATCCTTGTGTCACCTGTCTCATTCTCCCTCCTGAGATGATAGTGGCTATCTCACAGTACCTTGATGCTACTGCACCTATGTCTCTCAGAAAGGTAAACCTGGTCCCTCTCCTCTTCATCCCTGTGGATAAAAGGGTATTAATCCTTCTGCTTCACCCCTGTCTTGTTCCTGCACCTTCTCCCATCTCAGCAGCGGAGGCATCTGTCCTCACTATAGAAGTTTCTATTGCCCTTGTTCCTTTCTCTGGTGCTGCCTGTGCTCGGGAGCACATGCTCATTTCTATCCCTCCTCATTCTGCATCCCCTTACTGCCTTTCCGCAGCACCCCCTTCCTTGCTGGATCTTGTCGACTCGCCTATGCTCCTTACCCACAGTCCCCTTGCCTTAACCTTCTCTGCTGGCTTTACCTGTGTCCCATCCCAGATTTCTCTGATCTTAACTAGTTCTGCGTCTTTTTCTTTGCCTAATATTTTTAATTTTTTTCTTCTTGTCATAGCTGTTCTGTCCCACTTCCAGTTATTCACTTGTAGAATGTCCCAATTTTTTTGGATATTTGTATTTCTTGCTTTTCTGTTGTCACTAGGGTCATTTGTCCCTCGTTAGACTCCTTGGCTAGTCTGATACCTTTGCTATTGCTCGCCTTATATCCCTTTGTTCTTGTACTGGTATCTTGAGTAATGTTTAGCACTGTTTGCATATTCAGTCACATTAATGGTGCTACAGCATATTCCTGGTTTGGTGCCTTCTTTTGATAATTACATTTGTTCAACTGACTACATTTTATTTTTATTATTTAGTTACAGTATATATAATTTTGATATTAATTTAATTGTATTTTTCAGGATCAGCAACGATTTGTCGTATATAAAGGCAGGTTACCGTAGTGACAAATGGAAATGGGTGCTCAGTTTGCCAATGGTCAATGGTGGTGCACCAGTCAGCACGTTAAAAGAGCCAAAAGACTCAGAATTGTGTGGCTCTACAGTAAAGGATGATGCCTCAGAAGACACTGTTGTCGTCGAGAAGAGTGTCTCAGACAGCAGTGATCATTCTCAGACAACGGATACATTTGTGAAGAACAGTGAACCACAGAGCCTTTTGTCCACTTTTAAACCATTCTCAGAAGATCAGCTAACAAAAGAACAAATCCTGAAAACTTATGGAATGGACAAAAGCCCAAAAACTCTTCCATGCCAGTATGTGGGCTTGATAGTGATGAGCAGTATTATACTTAAACATGTCATATCAAAGTCCAAGTTCATATATTTAAAACTACAGTTTACAATATTTCAGTGTACTGTACAGTACAGTATTTAGCTTCCATACCTTATTTTAAGTTTTTGTTCTATTCTTATTAAATTGAGAAATTTTCTATTACGCTACTGCATTGTAAAACGAATATAATGTGGAAATGTTGTTATTATTTTTCAGAAAGAGATGTTCAAACAATCCTTGGTGCCTAGCAGATCTTAGGGGCGGAGCAGGGAAAGTGAAAGTTCGTCCCACAGATCAACCTCGAGACCAAAACAAACCAGTTGGGCTACAAAATACAGCAAATACATGTTGGATTAATTCAGCTCTACAAGCATTATTTCATCTCCCAAAGTTCAGGTATTGCAATAAAAAGTCTTAAAAATGAGCACTTTCATTTTGACTATGCTAACATGAAGGAAAAACAAAAGTCCATTCCGTAAAAAAAGGGACTTCAAATTAAATTTTATATCTAATTCACCCAAATCTTCAGTACAAAAGTACGTACAAGTTATTACTTACCTTTACTGATGACTCCTGTTGGCGTATGGAAGATGGTGAGAAGGGGGTAGTGGGGGGAGAGGTGTTACTGTTTGGAAGGGGAGTCCTCTTCCATTATAACATCAGGCAGTGATGACTTCCCTGGGGTACACTCTATGGCATGTTTTGCCTACATACCACTAGGACCTGCTTCTGGCTCACTGCTTGATTTTCTCACTAGAAATTGTTCCATTTGAATATTGTTTTTCCCTTCTTTGTAACACTTGTCTGTAGTGAGACATCACATTGTCATTAATAAGATCAATGCAATGGCCTGCTAAAGCTTTATCTGGGTGATTCTTTTCAGCAAAACTTTGCTGTTCTTCCCATACTGCACACATTTTCTTAATTAATGAGGAAGGGACATCCTCTACTGCTTCCTCCTCCTTCCCTGAAGATTTGTTGTACTGCCTAGCTAGTTCAACATCACGTGTACCATTTTCCATGTTTACAAATGATCTCTTGTTTTTCCTCTATGGTCATTCTCACATGTGTTTTCTTGGCTTGAACCTTACCACTGGCTGCTTGGGACCCATTGTGAGTTATGTGAGTCTTGCCCGAAACGCATTGCGTAATAGTGGCTTTAGGCATTGTATGTACTAGCTCTATCTATATATCAATCCATTAATGTAACATCACTTGTATGTATATACCTTACCTGAATAAACATCTGAATCTGAATCTGAATATAATAACAAATTTCATGTTCAAATAACCAAATATAAAAAAAAAAAAAACTAAGTCTTTGCAAAGAATTCAGGCGCGATAGTCACTAGGTGGGAGGCACTGATAAACTGAGGTGCGATCGCCATGCCACCACGCACTAGGTCGGCCCATACGCGTATCAACAAACTCGTTTCCCGAGGCAAAGTTTGTAACCCGATTCAAATTTTCCGACGAAATTGGGCTTGTAACCTGAAAAGTTCTTAAAGAGGGACATTCATAAGCCAAGGTGTCACTGTATGTGTGTGTGTGTAAATCACGAAAATTAACACGTGATGAAAAATGTGACAGTGTCAAACCACGAAGGAAGAATTGAAACGGGAATTTCCTTAAGTACTTTCGTATTAAATAATACATCTTCAGAAGGATGCTGTCCTTCTGAAGATATATTTTCAGTTCCCATTACGGAACTGCTCATGCACTGCCTGAGCCATCCTGGTCATTGGACCGGGTGCTCTCTTTTCTTTCTTCTTCTCGGTTTGTTGTGGCCCCTTTGGTACAAGATTGTTTTTCGAAGGCCCTTTTCCTGTTAGCATTTGTCCTCTGGGAGTCGGGTTGGGAGCTTCATGCTCTCTTCCGGCGCAGAGGTTTCTGCTTATTTGGTCCTGGTGGTAGGTTTGTTCATTTGCAGCCGTCTTCTTCTTTTCTGGTGAAGAATGGACGGCTGCTTTCTGAAGGGGTCCTTGGGTTGTGGATGCTTGGTAGGTTCAGCCCGGGGTGCATTATGTGTTGTGTCCAGTTGCGGCTCTTCGCCGTTACCTGTGTGCCACAACCTCGGTAACCGGGAATGCACTTTGGGTTGACCCGGTTTCCCTTCTTCCCTGTTCCAGGGTTCAGGTCTCCCAGGTCATCCACAGAGTTATTCGGTCCAGCCAGCCTGCGGTCTATCCTCATGCTCACGACATTTGTAAGTTTGCTGCATTGGCTTGTAGTTAATATGTCTTGGGCTGACATTTGGGCACAGAGTTTGCCTGAGGCAAACGGGCCTCGGGCATACCCCGTGGCTTGACTGATCAAACGTGACTTGACTGATGCCACAGTCTGATACATTCATATCAGCCCGGACAGCTCCGGGAGCCTCTGGGTCTCGCCCAGAAAATGGTGTTTCATTACATTCAACACTGGTTTTTTCAAGATGGCGTCTGTTTACTGGAATCCTGTGGCAAAAGCTGTGAGTCCTGTGTACATGCAGGAGTTTTGAATCGTTCCCTGTACCTAAAACAACACCTTTGTACCAAATACAACAAAGTTGCTGTCAGAACTGCAAGAAAAATGACAGGCTGGATAAAAAAGAACCTTCCAAATAAAAGATGCCATGGTGATAATGATACTTTTTAAGAGATTAGTGCTCTCTAGAGTGGGATATTGTTGTTCTCTCTAAGGAAAGAATCTCCTTAGAGAAAACAACAATCAATTGGCTTCTTGCCGGATGTTGCATGGCTGGCTTCTCGGGGTTTGTTTGTCTGGCACCTTCCTGCACCTTTGCTCAACCATGGGTCCTTTGCATGGATACCTTGGCTTTGGGTTGGGATTTTGTGACCAGCATTCACCAGTCCAGCTAGGGTCGTTGTCGTCCTCTCCTTCATTGGGCTCATGGTACCATTTGGGAGTTTGTGGCTGTGTGGCACTCACTGCATCACTGCAGATCGTTGGATTCCTCCGGGCTCTGTGCTCTGCCTCCATTCTGATGTTTTCCTGTTGTTTACATTCTTAACTGAGTGGGTTCACTTCAGGCCCTGTCTCTTTGGAGCTGGACATTTCAGGTGGCTCTTCTGCTGGATTCTTCTGCCACCTGGATTTTTTCAGGTGGCTCTTCTGCTCTGGAGTTGGCTATCTGCGCATTTCATTCCCTGGGTGTGTCCAATGTCCTCGTGGAAGATCGTCCTGGTTTATTCCCATTTCCATAGAGTGCACCATCAATGCCTCCTTCCTAAGGCTTTGTGAGATGTTTGTATGCCCAGATGTGGACCGCTTCACTTCGTCTTAGAATCGGCACTTTCCCTTATACACTGCTCCATTCCCCAACTGCGAAACCCTAGCTGTGGACTGGACTGGTCGAGATGGGGGTTCCTGTACCTCTTACCCCTGGTCCGGCTGGTGCTCCAAGTCCTGACCAGAAAGGAGCCCTACCAGGGATGGGTGAACCTTCTGGATCCTTAGTGGGTAGCTCAGCCTTGGCACTGAAGTACCTTCCTCCTCCCCTCAGATGAGTGGGGGAGGTGGGGTAAACAAGCTCACGATGGTTATGAGACCTCAATTGTTTGTTTGCATAACTGAGGCAGTTGTTGAGGCATTAGTCTCTTGAAGCCAGCAGTGGCTTGTTTTGACTGGCTGACACGCTGGTTGCCTTTCCCAGTGACTGTCACCACTCCCTGCTTGGATACAAGTCCAATATATCATCAAGTGTTCCAGTACTCATATAGTAACTACAGAGTTCAGCATACCTTAGCCCAGGAGGGCGAAAGTCAGTCAGTATGGGACATTCTACAATATAATGATCAAGAGAGTGCATGTTTTCTCTTTCACAAAGTTGACACATTGAGTACTCGACCCCTGCTACTCTTTGAGTGGGCCAGGATCTCAGCATAGTAGCCTCAGGAAGCCACCAGGGCTCACCCAGAAATTGGTGTTTCATTCAGTGCTGATTTTTTCTTGTTCTAGTATGGTTGCTTTACAAAATACAATTTTGTAGATTTTAATAAATGAAAATTCTTGCTATTTCTCTCTCTTACTTCATTTGACAGAAATTATTGCTTGGTGTTGAGGTAACTATAAGCTTCTGGCTTGTTTTCCATTATCTTTTGCTTAAAAATTTGTTTTTGTTTTGAATTTTAGTAATTGTGAAACTTTAGTAGATGGGTTGTTGTGCTGAAAGCTAATCTGAATTGCAATCAAGTTGAATTACTTATTTCTTGTACAGTTTAAGGTAATACATAAAAGTTTAGATAGGGAAAATATTAAAAGAAAGAAATAGAAGTGTTTGCAAATTAAATAGCTGGTTGTTTATTTTGTTTATAGGGTCTTGTTAGTGCACACACACATGTTGTGCAAAGTAAAAGAATTGCCGGTTTGAAATACAGTACAGTGGACAATTACATAAAATGTCATTATGATGGGCACATTTGATCTTGTGCACTTGAGTGACATTAGATGTGAATGCTGCCTAATTAGAATAACCTAAATATTATTTTGCTTGTTTTCTCTATAGCCTTAAACATTTTCTTATGATTTAGTTTTATTTCAGAATGTTAAGTTCATAATTTTTTTATGGTTGTTGTTATTATTATCATAATTATTGAACAAATCCAAGAGGAGCCTTGATAAGGGTTCTATCCTATACGCTGTGTGTTCCCAGGCGTGCTCTAGTCAACTGCACCACGACATGGTCAAAGACTTACAACCTGGAGTACTACTCCACCCACAAGGGTCCCAAGTATGCACCTAAGAACACCCAGCGCATACGTTCAAACTCTCATGAAGGCTCCTGTTGGATTTGCTCATTTATATATCACATAATGTGATTTCTCTGTGTATTATTATTATTATTATTATTTTTTAGGAATGTCATCAATGCTGTTGATGGATTTGCTGATGAGGAGAGTCTGTCGTGCATGTTGTACCTCCTTCAGGCCATGTTTGTTGAAATGGACACCCATGCCAATAAGTATGCTTCTCTAATTTGACTGTAATGTTTATGGTATTGTTTCACATCCTGATTTAATGTTGCACTTTTCATCAATTATAATAATTATAATATTAATCCAATATTTATAGTCTTTGGTAACCCGTTATTGGGGAAGTATACTATAGTGAAACGGAAGTCCACTGTATGATATTATTTTTCTACTTGATTCACTGCTTTCTTTGTTATCATGCACACACTGTAATTTGCGCTTCAATAAACCATATGAGCGCTTCTATCTTTACTTTTTTACAATATTTTGTTTTGCACCATTGCCTTCACCTAACCTTTTCTTTTATTTTGATATCACTACTTACAAGGGGCTGCCTCATATTTTCAGTATCACTCACATATGTCTAATTAAGATTCATAAATTTACCTGTTACATTCATGTGTATCAGTTAAGGAATAAAAATAATGGCAGGTAAAGATGCGTAATATATAATAGTATTTTCCTTACTATAATTACACAAATTGCATATTTATTTAATTTTCAAGAGATTGTTGTAATCTACAATACACAGTAATCATAATTTAACTCTTTACCCCACAAGTGTGACTATGGATATAAAGTGCATGCTTATCTGCTCATATGCACAAATAAAAAACTTCCAAAAAATATTGTTTCCTTAAAGAATGGTTAAGTTGTTTGTAAAATGTATGGAAAAGTGAAAATAAATAATATACAGTATATCTACATTTTTACTGGCTTTGTGAGCCATTCAATGTAGCTGGCTGGTGACCCCAGCCAGATGTGTCAACATGCCAGATGTTGCATTAGCAAGTCAACAGCATGAGCTATATGGCTTCAATGTTGACCTTGGATCTTTATACAATCATTTCTGGGGGAAGCCTCTTTTGATTCCCTGTAGCTACCGTCACCGATGTAGGTGCATCAGTCACCTCGGAGGTCTCTGGCTTACTGGAGACCCAGAGCCAGAACCTGGTCCCCTCACAGAGGCACAGGGAGCCCTGGCATTTATATACTGTATTAAGTTATTCATTTATGCCACCACTGAGGAAGGTGCCCAGAAAGTCAGTGAGTCAAAACAAACCACAGCTGGCCACATAAAAAAATCCACATCTGCATAACAGAATTCTTTAAATAACTTCCCTGCCAACACATACGGGTGCCATTGAGGCAATGGAAGAGGACTTGGTTTAGCTTGGAGTAATTACTGAAAATGCATCCATAAACACTCAAAACCTTTCCAAGCCTTACTTGCTATTAAAAAGGACTGCAAAGTAGCACCCTCACCCATTATTTAATAAGCTCCCATGATCCCTCTGTAAAGAAGGGAGCTTTATCAGATCGAAAATAAAGATCAGATCAGAAATATACTCGGTACCAAGTTAAACCTTCCTATAAAGTATTGAAATAAGTCATAAATCACTCGCCACCCTTCAAGAAATGTCTGGTATTTTACTGAATTACAAAAACTAAAATCTTAAACAACTACAGTGCAACCTTGATTAGCTGGACTAGTTGGTACATGTGGACATTGCGATAACTGAAACTGCAGATACAGTACTCTAATAAAATAAAAGACCAAAGATGTAATTTTCACGCGTTTTTGTAATTGTAGTATTTATTTTAAGGTAAAAATGTTAACAATATTTGTAATGGTGTTTTAAAAGGAATGCACTAAAGAGAGAGAGTTATTACCTAAATGTAGTTACAGGATGAGAGCTATGCTCGTGGTGTCCCATCTTCCCAGTACTGTACTCTGCTGTATAATGCTTTGAAACTACAGTACTGATGGTTTTGGCCCTGTGGTGTCGCGTCTTTCCACCACTCTGTCATATAATGCTTTGAAATTACTGATGGTTTTAGCCTCCACCACCTTCTCACCTAACTTGATCCAACCGTCGACCACTCTGCAAAAGTGAATTTTCTTATGCAGTATTTCTTCAGCAGCTTTGTTTAGTTAATTATATGACCATATTAAATATATATGTTCTTGAAGTTCCAGGTCTGAGGAATTCTTCCCTATCAATTTTATCGATTCCCGTTACTATTTTGTACGTCGTGATCATATCGCCTCTTTTTCTCCCATCTTCTGGTTTTGGCATATTTAATGCCTCCAACCTCTCCTCGTAGCTCTTGTCCTTCAGTTCTAGGAGCCATTTAGTTGCATGTTTTTGCACCTTTTCCAGTTTGTTGGTGTGCTTCTTAATATATAAGCACCATACAACTGCTGCATATTCCAGCTTTGGTCTAACAAAAGTTATGAACAATTTCTTTAGTGTTTCACCATCCATGTGTTTATAAGCAATTCTGAAATTATAAAGTGTAGCATAGGCTCCTTGCATGATGTTCTTTATGTTGTCCTCAGGTGATAGTTTTTTATTTAGAACCACCCTTAGATCTCTTTCTTTATCAGAATTATTTAAAGATTTCTCACATAATTTATAGGGTGTGAGGGGTCTGTGTCCTCCATGGCATTTATTCACACTAAATTCCATTTGCCAAATGGTGCTCCATACAGTTATTTTGTCCAGGTCTTCTTGAAGGGCATGACAATCATCTAAGTTAAATTAGCTTCAGGGAGCCACAACGGGTTCTCTTCAGAAAACCTGCATTAAATGTATTGAAATGCCAATTTTTGGAGGAGTCCTGGTGGCTCCCTTCATCCTTCATGCCCTCTAGGTTCATTGGTTTGTCTTGAGTTTGTCCATCAGGTCCAGAACTGACTTGCGGGAACCAGCTGTGGGCCGGGGCCAGGCCACCTGGTGGTGGTAATTGGTACTAACAAGTGTTAAGCTTGATTGAGTGAATCCCTTGTTCTGTGTGACTTGTTTGCAGTAGATGTTTGGCATTTATAAAGGCTTTGTATTCTGTGAACCCTTCAGTTGTCTGTAAAGCTGTGCTGACTTTCTAGAGGCTTTTTCTTGTGAGGTGGCAGGCAGATTATCACCTGCTCTCGGCACCTTTGTGAAGGGGACAGGTTCTGGCACTGGTCCCTGGTAGGCCAGACAGGCTGATGTGACCTTTTAGTATGAAGGAATCTTAGAAAGATAGCTTCAGGAGCCACTGGGAATCTTCCAGAAATTGGCATTTCATTACATTCAATTCTGGGTTTTGTTTAGTCTGGGAAAAGAATTTAACACTAGGCCTCAAATCATGACATGGATATTAGTTAATGGATTTGTTGAATGAACCTGGGAGTTATGATTAGTAGAACCCTAAAACCAAGACAGCAGTGTATAAATATATTTAGTAAAGCCAAAAATATTTTTTACTTTATATCTAGAATTGTTAGCAATATGAAAAATTATGTTTTCCTTCAACCTTAACTAATTCAGTAAAACCTCAGTGTGATTATGCTGTTGAGTTTTCATTACTGTAGTACCAAATAGATATAAATTATTTTAATAACATACAATGTAGAATAGCAAAATTAATCCTGTACAGAGTAACCTCAGTACTCAAACAGCTCCCAACTCGAACACTTCAGAACTCAAACACTGTATTCGTTCTCAATAGTCAACCATTTGCTCGGCACTCAAACGTAAACACGCATAACGGTAGAGCCATTTTCACAGTAGCTGTTCAGTGCACACCCCACTAAACTTCTCTGTAAACTTTCTTGTATTTTCTTGGATGTTTTTTATATTCATAGCATAAATAAGTCACCATGGTGCCTAAGAAAGTTAGTGATAGGAGCCAAATGGAAAAAAATTAGTTAGAACCACGATAAAGATGAAAAAAGAACAAACTCGGCAAAATATGAAAGTGGTGCCCATGTGCCCATTACATCTCTTGCTACCAAGTTTGATATGCTTAAATCTACAATATCTACATTAGAAAAAGACAGAAAAGAGAAAAAACCTTAGAATCATAATTACCGGAAGTTTTTATGTTAGGGGACTCCTCTGCCAAACAATAACATCTGTCCTCCCCCTCACCACCTTCCACATATGCCTCACCTCTCCTAAGCACGGGTAAAGTGAGAATATATTTACATTAATTTATTTATTGTATTCATATGTGATCTGGAATGGATTAATTAAATTTACATTATTCCTCATAGGAAAAATTATTCGGCACTGTTCTTGCACAGATCTGCACTCGAATGGCCTTCTGTAATGAATTAACACTATCACGTGTGCCACGAGAGCGCCGCAGACTTTGACGTCATGGGGCTAATGGTGCGGGCAAGCATGCGGTGATGCCTAAATGTGTATACTCGTTTCAGTTTTCTCACCTTAATTCTCGTGCTACGTCGTTCGTTTTGGTATCATTGTGTTTGCAATTAAATTCCCTGCAAATGTATATGCATATAATGTCCAGAAGCCTGGCAAGACTCCCCACAGCAAGCCTAAAATTACCCGTGAACGAGCACCAATTTGCACACCACAACCTAATGTGTATACTCGTTCAGTTTGATAACATCAATTTTTATGTTACATCGCTCGTTTTGGTATCAAATTGTTCGCAATATAAAGGCACACATTTTAAAACTAGTCCCATAATAATAGCACAATAAATAGAATTTTAACAAATATTTTAAAATTTAAAATTTAGACCCAAAAACGTATTTATAATCTTTCAAGTGTTCTGACGTCAAGTTTCGTGTTACATCTTTCATTTTGGTAACCAATTTTGCACATTCTAAAGGCGCTTATTTTGAAAGTATCCCGAGGTCGATCAGCTAAAAAATTAATTTTATACAAATATTTTTGTAGTGTACACGTCCATTTTTTTTTTTCAAGAAAAAAAAATGGACGTGATCGGTGTCTAAAGCGAGCAATAGTGTTAAATTTGAGTACCGAGGTTCCCAGGAGATTCCTTTGTATAAGGAATTTTTGCTACAAAGCTATATTTAGGAGAATTGAAGCTGCAAGTTCTTGAAAGGCAAGGAACAAGGGGAGGTATGATTGAAGTGTGCTATGCTAATGGATGAATGGTATTATTAAAGAAGGTGACATAAACAAGGTGATGAAATAATTTATTGACAAAGTAGAACTCTCATCAGCATATTCATCTGGCAAATTTAGATTATAAAGAATATGGGGAACATTGGTTTGGAAATAGACATAGATGACAAAAATAAACATAATTGACATAAGATGCCATGGTAAGTTTTAAAAATAGTATAGACAGATGCCTAATTGAAAATAACATACAATTCCAGTACATGGATGTAAAATTGCACCTGTCTAGCATGTACCAGTAGGCCTGTTGCAGTGTTCTGTTCTTATGTTCAAAGTAGATTCTATTAGTTTTATTCCAAAGTAAACAATGACTAGGATTCCCCGTCTCCTTCGACTGTCTTTGCACTCTTTCTCATGGTAATGCCCTTTGGCTCTTTCCTTGGTGTAATAATATAAATGCTTCCCTTGCAATATTGTACCTCAACATCTAGTTCATGTCCATAAGTATTTTCTCTTGTATACTCCTATTTACTTAATCTAAAGAATAAAGAATATAATTAATATTTGATTACTACTTTCAGAGCCATAGCATGTAGTCCTGGTAGTGTGTTTGAAAGAATGGGGCTCTTTGCAACTCAGGAAATCATGCGGAAGGATGCAGACCACGAAGTGCTGAAATGTGTTTCTGAATTTTTGGAAAACACCATTGACACACTAATTGCTGATCCCAAGTTAGGGTCAGAGCTAAGACCGCTGTTTAATACAAATTTAATGAGGCTTGCAAGGTAAGCAACTTATTTGTTCATTGTAATTCTTAAATGGGTTGCTATAATTGACAAGTTTTTTGTGGGTTATTGAAGCAAAATATACATAAAAAAAAAAGTCTGCAGAGTCAACAGCTTTGTCAATTCTTAGGGTAAACTCTATTTACCTGATGGTCGTCAGTGTCTTGACAGTGGTGCCAGGTAAACTTATAATGCCTTATTACCTGTCAGTGATTCTGAGGATCAACATCCCTTTTCCTCGGTCTCTAACCAGGCCTCCTGATTGGTAGTCTAGTCAACCAGGCTGTTTAATGCTGCTTCTGCCTATTTTTTTTTTTTTTTTTTTTCAGGGATATTCCAGCACAGACCCTAAGCCTCTGGCTTGCCCACTAAGTGTTGCTGCTTGTTTCTGTTTTACTTAGGCAGAGTATGAGTATTTATGACTGGTATGGTCACTTCAGTAAGAGTTTGCCCCATGTGTTTAACAGCTTCTTCTGCTCTGTTGAATCAAAGTTGAAATCTTTATGGGTTTGCTGATGATGCTAAGATGCTAGGGAAAATAAGAAACTTAGACGATTGTCACGCCCTTCAAGAAGACCTAGACAAAATAAGCGTATGGAGCACCACTTGGCAAATGGAATTTAATGTGAATAAATGCCATGTTATGGAATGTGGAATAGGAAAACATAGACCCCACACAGCCTACAAATTATATGAAAAATCTTTACAAAATTCTGATAAAGAAAGAAATCTAAGGGTGGTTCTAGATATAAAATTATAAACTGAGGACCACATAAAGAACATCGTACAAGGAGCCTATGCTACACTTTCCAACTTCAGAATTACTTTTAAAAACAGTGGTACCTCAGCTTGCAAATTTAATCCGTTTCCAGAGACGGTTCATAAGCCAAAAATTTGCAACCCGAAACGAATTTTCCCGTAATAAATAATGTAAAATGAATTAATCTGTTCCACACTCCCCCAAAAATATTAATTTCAAAATAAATTTCATACCTAATTCACCCAAAGATTTAGTACTATAGTATGTACAAGTTATTCCTTACCTTTATTGAAGACTTGTTGGCGTATGGAAGACGGTGAGGAGGGGGGGAGGAGAAGAGGTGTTAGTGTTTGGAAGGGGAGTCCCCTTCCATTATAACATCAGGCAGTGATGACTTCTCTGGGGTACATTCTCTGGCACGTACTCTCCCTGCATACCACTAGGACCTGCATGTGGCTCACTGCTTGCTTTTCTCTCTAAAAACCTTTCCATAGAGACTTGTTTTCCCTACGTTGTAATGCTTGTTTGTAGTGAGGCATCACAGTGTCATTAAAAAGGTTATGGCAATGGCCTGCTACAGCTTGCTGTGGGCGAGTCATTTCAATAAAAGTTTGCATTTCTTCCAATAGTCTGCACCATTTCTTAATTGTTGAGGAAGGGGCATTCTGTACTGCCTAATCCTCCCCAGAAGAGATTACCTCAGCTGCCTCTTTTTGCTACGCCTTGTGAAGGACTAGAACTTCATGAAGGACCGACTTTGGTGGTCAGTTCTTCGCTGTGTTCCTCCATCTCAGAACACACAACACTCACAACACTGTGAATGCCACTTCTTTTTCTAAATTTCTCAAACCATTCCCTGCTCACTGTAAACTCTCTTGTATTTGCATCACTTGTCCCAGGGGTTTTCTTTCAAAGGTCTTCATGCAATAGCCTAGCTTCTTCACAAATGATGGCCTCAGAAACGCTATCACCCGCTAACTCCTTGTTGTGTATCCAAATTAATAATAACTTTTCAACGTCCTCAAGTGTTTGTGTTCTTTGTTTCGTGATTGTTGATACTCCTTTTGCCACTTTAGCACTCGTAATGTCCCCTTTTCTTAGCAATTACAGTGCATATCATTGACATAGATTTGTTGCACTGCCTAGCTAGTTCAACAACCCGTGTAACATTTTCATGTTTTTGCTCTATGGTCATCCTCACATGTGTTTTCTTAGGTTGAACCTTACCACTGACTTTCTTGGGACCCATGGCATGATATATAATAATTACTTTTATGTTCAAAACCCCAAAAAAACAAAAAGCAATGAAATTCTTTACAAAGAATTCATGCACGATCATCACAAAGCGGGAGGCACTGATAAACTGAAGCGCAAGCGACTCTGCCACCAGGAACCACGTGCTAGGTAGCCCATACGCATATCAACAAGCTACGCTACCTGAGGCAAAGCTTGTAAGCCGATTCACACTTTACGAAGAAATTGGCTCGTAACCCGAAAAGCTCGTAAATAGGGGCATTTGTAAGGTGAGGTGTTACTGTACATGGATGGTGAAAAACAAAAGAAACTTCATGACCTGTTAAGACTAAAGCTGGAATATGCAGCAGTTGCATGGTGCCCATCTGTTAAGAAGAACGTCAGCAAACTGGAAAAGGTGCAAAAACATGCAATTAAATGGCTCCCAGAACTGAAGGATAAGAGCTACAAGGAGAGGTTGGAGGCATTAAATATGCCAAAACTAGAAGATGAAGAAAAAGAAGTGATATGATCAGTGGGGAGCCAGTCGGCCGAGTAGACAGCACGCTGGACTTGTGATCCTGTGGTCCTGGGTTCAATCCCGGGCGCCGGCGAGAAACAATGGGCAGAATTTCTTTCACCCTATGCCCCTGTTACCTAGCAGTAAAATAGGTACCTGGGTGTTAGTCAGCTGTCACGGGCTGCTTCCTGGGGGGTGGAGGCCTGGTCGAGGACCGGGCCGCGGGGACACTAAAGCCCCGAAATCATCTCAAGATAACCTCACTACGTACAAAATAGTAATGGGAATTGATAAAATTGATAAGGAAGAATTCCCTAAACATGGAACTTCAAGAACAAGAGGTCATAGATTTAAACAAACTTAAGAAAGCTGTCAAAGAAATATAAGAAAATTTACTTCCGTTAATGGAGTGGTAGATGGTTTGAAGAACATGTTTGAGAACGTGGTGGAGGCCAAAACCATTAGTAGTTTTGAAGCGTTACTGTATATAACAAAGAGTGTTGGGAAGACAGGACATTACAAGCGTAGCTCTCATCCTGTAACTACATTTAGGTAATTACATGTTGAATAATTCAGTTTATGTACACAAAATTGACAAAAATATCGATTGAATACTGAATATTAACCTTTAATGTCAAATGTACACTATTGCATGTAAATTTGTTCCTAGCACATCTCTAATGAAATGTCCTGCAACCCATACCTTTTCTGCAATTCTGTCTTAAGATTTTTCAGTTGGGAGAAAGGCATTAAGCATATTGTAGAAAACAATATTATGTATGTATGGGAATTTTTTAATTATCATTTGAGGGATTTTTAAAATATCATTGTGTAAGAGATACTTGAGAATAAGATGCATTTTAATCATCAGATGGAAATGTCCGGTATGTGAAACAGAACATGAGAACCATTTGGCACCTGCCACATCTTACACCATGGCTGCCTACGTGAGTGGTGATGAGTGCCCGCTTGACCAGTGCCTTGTAGACCTTCAAACTGAGACTCAGACTGGGGTGTCCTTGGTGTGTGGATCTGACAGCACCAGTACAGGAGGATGTGGGGCTAGGGTGAAAGCAGATCGCATTGTAACGCCAAAGATTCAGAATTTACCAGCAGTTTTAGTCATCAGGAATAATAGCCTTATGTAAGTATAAATTTGTATAATTCTCAAAATAATTTGAGATTTTATATTTGCATTTGCATGATCTTTCTCTTCCCTGTTCTTAGCTCTTGCCTTAACCACCAAAAATAAGAAAATTTAAAAAAAAAATAAGAAAATTTAAAAAAAATTTGAAAAAAGAACAAATGTCAAAAAGGTTTGTTCAGTGAATGTCAGGTAGGCTGCTCCATTTTCTATGAAAAAATATAAAAAATCGAATATCATATTGATGTTTTTTGGTGGTGGAATGGATTAATTTTATTTCTGTTATTTTAAATAGGGAAATTCGTTTCGCAAGATGAGCGTTTCATATGACGAGCTCGGTTCCGGAACGGATTAAATTCGTTAACCGAAGCTCTGCTGTACATATGCATAGTGCTGTTTTTAAAATGATTTTAGAGATTGTATACTTATTTACATATCTGTTGTAATCCAGGGATCGCGATCTGAAGCGACGTCTGCATGTTGTGTATCCCGAAATACTTGATTTGACATCTCATACGCTGAATCATGTCGCTGCAACATATACTCTCTCTGCTGTGATCTTTCATCACGGTCACTGGGTAAAACACTTTTCAGGTATGTGATAATGTGCTACATTGGTTTTGAATGTATAGAATAAGGTTTTTGTTAAAGATGCATGTAAAATAATTTTTTTTTATTATTGTAGATATATAATAAAAGACCAATTTTTAAATTTTACATGGAGCCATTTTAATTGAACTATATGCTTTGAATTTCTACTATGCCTCCTCTTTCATACCATTTCATTGTCTTCTCTGTTTCTTTTTATTTCCTAATTCAGTTATCACAATGTAGCATGCATTTCTATTAAAAATTTCCTTTATGATCCGTTGTAATTTTAATGTCCATGGCATAGTTTTAGTGATACTGAATATCAGTTATAGTTACATGATGTATAAGCGTATAAAGTAAAACTTTCACCCTGGTCTCTACCATTTTAACACTTTCGCGCTTTCCGCGAAGGTCACTCAGCCAACCGAATGTGCGCGCGGCGTTTTTATCGCTTAAGCGTAAAAACAAAAATGTGTATACTCTTTTTACTCTTCTGACCTTAGTTCTCATGCTACGTATTTCATTTTGGTACCAACGTGTTCGCAATAAAATTCTCTAGAAGAACATCAGTAAAAAAAGTCACGAAACGTATAGGGATACCAGCACCAAATAAATAACTACGAAGATGACTCGCCGTGAGCGCCCATCAGCAACAAAATGTTTTTACTCTTGGGATTGTAATCACCTCCACACTTATTCTACAGCGTTAATTTTGGTATCAATGGACTCGCAATGAAATTCCCAACACGGTGATATGAATATAAGCGTAGAATAATGATGCGGCCCGCCCGCAAGAGTGTGGGAAGTGGTGAAATTGTTACCCGGTATCGGTGACGGGACGACGCACGGCGCTTTGAAAGTTTATACTTATTTCACTCTCATGACATTAATTTTCTATGTACGTCATTCATTTTTGTGTCAATGTGTTCGCAATAGAATGTTCTATGTGCCCATAGGTAAAAAATATCAACAAAGCGTAAGTTAGAATAGCGCCAAATATAAAACAACGCTGGAACATATCAGTGAGCGTCAAACACACACGAAATGTTTTTACTTTTGTTATGTTTGTCAAGTTTATACTTGTTGCACACAGTTATTTTTGGTTGTATATTGATCGGAATAAAATTCCCTAAACAGACATATGCATATAATACATGATATGGGGGAAGCATTACCAGTATAAACGGCTAAAGTCACCCACCTGCAACCCGTTTGGGACAAAATACCATTTGATCGAAGTTATCCACACCTTTCATGAACTTATTGTACCATGCAGCCTAGTGGTGAGAAAGAGAGCCTCATAGCGCGCAGTTTGAAACAAACCCAAAGTAAATCGGATAAAAATTGAATTTTATACAAATATTTTAAAAGAGGACTCAACTTTATGTCCACTATGCGTTAGCGTTAGACGAAACGGGACGCGCCGGCGCGTCCAGATAGCGCGAAAGTGTTAAAATGAACACATGGATAGTCACAAATTGGACTAGTCTTGTTCCTGTATAATCTGTGAGATTAATTTATCCAATTTTGAAGGTTGGTTCATGGGGTCACAGAAGTTCTTTACATCTTATTGTTTTGCATATTATTTTTCATGTACATGTAAGAACATAAGAATTAAGGAAACTTGAGATTGCTTATTGGTTCATGTTCCTCATATGGACCATGCATCCTATCTTAATGGTTAGTGCAAGGGTCACAAAAGTTCATGCCCGAAACGCTTTGCGTAATAGTGGCTTTAGGCATTGTATGTACTAGCCCTAACTATACATCCATCACTCTTTGTAAAATCTCTTTTTATGTATGTACCTTACCTAAATAAACATTTGATTTGATTTCATTATATTTTTCATCTGGACATCAAGCAGGTAATGGCATCAAGCTGACAAGGGTGCCATTGACACCCTTGTCAGTATCAGCTGGCGGAGTCAAACATCTTCACAGATGGTCTGTTTTGGTTCCTTCGTGTTTCCACAGTGGAAAGTTGATGCCACCTTTCTGTGGCTTTGTGTGACACTTTGGCACCTTGACATGGACCTCTTTGTGTCGGTGTGGAATCATATCCATCCCTTGTACACGTCACTGTTCCCTGATTGAATGGCCCTAGCAGTGGATGCCTTTCAGCTAGACTGATCAAGGTGGTGGCATTTCTGTACCTATTTCCTCCGGCCCCACTGTTGCTCCAGGTCCTGGCCAGGTTGGAGTCCTACCAGAGGAGGGTGATCCTTTTGGATTCCTGGTGGCCGGCTATGCCTTGGTTTTTGGCGCTGCTTGCTCAGGTGTCCAAACCCGGGCATTTTTTCACAGCTCCGCCTCTGTCAGCAGGTCGGGCCAGTGATGTACTTCATTAGTTCGATCTTCTTAACTCTTCGCGTCTGGGATTTTGTACGCGTATTTATCTATTTTTTTTTACAAGAAGGAGGTGATTTCTTTGATGGTGTCCCCACTTGTATTCTTCTTCTCAGTGACAGTATAATGTTTTGTGGTGCCTTCCTCCCCATTGCTCAATGTGTTTTTAGACACCTCGGCTCTGGTTTAGGCTTTTGTACCTGGTGCTCACTATACCTCTCAGTCAGCTTCTTCATGTGCATGGCATGGTACACGTGTTTGCAGTTGTGTGGCAAGCCATATTGAGGGTTTGTATTTCTCTGGGGTCTGTTTTCCGGCTCCATTCCAATTACTTCCTGGTGGTTTGTTCACTAAACTGAAGAGAAATCGCTTTGATCCTTACCCTTTGGAGCTGTACTCTTCAGGTAACCCAGCTTAAGATTTCTTAGTGTTTGGTTTTATTTGCATAGTTTACATGCAAGATGTGTCCAGTGTTATCGCTGATGGTTTATCTATTTCTGTCCCATTTCCATGGAATGGGCGGTTGAAGTTGCATCCTTTTATTAGCACTGCAAGATGTTCGGTCACCTTAAGGTGGACTTCTTCATGTTGTCTTGGAACCGGCGGCTTCCCTCTTATGTGGCTCTGTTCCCTAATCACGAGGCTCTCATGGTGGATGCTTTTTGACTGGACTAGTCAAGGTAGAGGTGTCTCTATATTTTTCCCTTTGGTCAATTGTTACTCTGGGTGTTCCTTTTGGTCAATTGTTGCTCTGGGTTGGAGACATACACTGGCAAGGTGATCCTCATGGCTCTTTGGTGGCCAATCTCAAATCCATGAGAAGGTGAATTCAGCAAATTCATTTTAACAACAAACTGGTTAACTGGGAATGAATAGACCAAGACGTCGCAGAAATATGCTGGGAAGAACATCTAGATAATGCAAACTTAAACCAGTGCTTTGAGAAAATAGGCACAGTAGCAGCATAGTTTTTGACTGGGCAACAGAAAATAACATTATGTTTAACAGTGATAAATTCCAAGTACTCAGGTATGGTAAAAATGAGGACCTTAAACATAATACAGAGTACAAAACACAATCAAATGTGTCCATAGTAGGAAAGCAGCATGTATAGGATTTGGGAATAATGATGTCTGACGACCTAATGTTTAGGGAGCATAACCAAGCAAATATTGCATCAGCCAGAAAAATGACCGGATGGATTACGAGAACTTTCAAATCCAGGGATCCCATCACAATGGTTGTACTATACAAATGACTTGTACTGTCCCGTCTTGAGTTCTGCTCAGTACTCACTTCCCCCTTCAGAGCAGGAGAGATTGCTGAAATAGAGGGAATACAGAGAACATATACGGCATACATAGACACAATAAAGCACTTAAATTATTGGGATCATCTCCAAGCTCTCCAAATGTACTCACTAGAAAGAAGGCGAGAGAGATATCTAATAATATACACATGGAAGATACTGGAGGACCAAGTACCAAATCTACATAGTAAAATAACAACATACTGGAGTGAATGATATGGAAGAAAATGCAGAATAGAACCAGTGAAGAGCAGGGGTGCCATAGGTACAATCAGAGAACACTATATAAACATCAGAGATCCACGGTTGTTCAACACCCTCCCAGTGAGCATAAGAAATATTGCCGGAACAACCGTGGACAAGATCTAGAGGAAACGAGATTGTTTCCTCCATGGAGTGCCGGACCAACCGGACTGTGGTGGGTATGTGGGGCTGTGGCTGCTCCAAGCAACAGCCTAGTGGACCAAACTCTCACAAGTCAAGCCTGGCCTTGGGCCGGGCTTGGGGAGTAGAAGAACTCCCAGAACCCCATGAACCAGGTATCAGCCAGGTAGTATTAGAAGCATGTAGAAGGAACATACCACTAAGAAAACAGATAAAGCGATGCAAACTGGGATGAGAGCGGTGCTCCCTTTATAGGTGAAGAAAAAAAATAGCAGAACATCTCAAATGCTCCACTCTATCCCAACAACGACAAGGAAGGCAATGTAGGGAAATAGAAATAATCGAGCTCAAGTTGAAAGAATCAAATAAAATCCAAGAGAGGCAAAGGTAGCAAAATGCCATTAGTGAAATACTATAGAGAGGAATCCAAAATACTTTTTCTCCTATGCAAAAACTAGAACAAAAACTGCATCCAGCATTGGGCCCTTGTTCGAGGATGATGGAACTTTCACAGATGACAACAAAGAAATGAGTGCAATACTGAAGCTTCAGTACAACTCATTTTTCAGTGAACCCCTGAATAGATTGAAGATCAATGATCCAAATTAATTCTTCAAGAATGTGACACCAACATCAAACCATATATCAGATGTCACCCTAACCCCACCAGACTTTGAAGCAGCCATAGACAGCATGCCCCTGCACTCTGCACCAGGCCCAGACTCATGGAATTCTATACTCACCAAGAAGTGCAAAACACAACTATCACAGGCCCTAAACACCTTCTGGAGACAGCCTAGATACTGGTGTCATCCTTGACATACTTAAAACAGCAGAGATCTTGCCACTTCACAAAGGAGGTAGTAAAGCAGATGCAAAAAAACTTATAGACCAATAGTTCCAACTTCACACATCCTAAAAATCCTTGAGTGTTAAGAAATAAGATTACAGATCACATAGAATTACAAAGCTACAGAACCTCGGGCAACATGGGTTCAGAATAGAGCGTTCTTGCCTCCCACAATTGTTAGATCACTATGACATGACCTTAGGTGCCATGGAAGACAAGCAAACCACAGATGTAATGTACAAAAACTTTGCAAAAGCTTTCAACAAATGTGGCCATGCTGTTATTGTGCACAAAATGCGCTCAAAGGGAATTACAGGTACTGGCAAAGTAGGGAGATGGATCTTGAACTTCTTTACGAACAGGATGCAGAGTGTAATAGTCAATACAGTAAAATCCATATCATCCACCCTAAAAAGCTCAGTCCTCCAAGGTATCATACTTGCTGCTGTGCTTTTTCTCATTCTCATATCAGGCATAGACAGGGATACAAACTATAGTACTGTATCATCATTGCAGATGACATTAGGATTTTCATGTAAGTAGACAATATAGAGGATACAGCAAACCTCTAATCTGATGTAAATCGGGTGTTTCAGTGGGCCACAGTTATTTATATATGATGTTTAATGAAAATAATTTCCAGCTCCTGCACCATGGAAAAAACGAAAATATAAAAATGGAAACCATATATAAAATGTAATCAAATCATACTACAGGATGAAAAAGCAATGTAAAGGATCTAGGAGTAATTATGTCGGAAGACCTTACCTTTAAAGAACACAATATAGTAGCTGTCATGACTACAGGAAAAATGACTGTTTGGATAACAAGGAGGACCTTCTAAACAAGGGATGCCATATCAATAATGATACTTTTCAAGACACTAGTGCTCTCTAGGGTGGAATATTGTTGCACACTAATAATGCCATTCAAAGCCAGAGAAATGGCTGACCTAGAGAGCGTGCAAATCCGCTCCACCTCTTTCAGCAAATTGGGTTGGCGACGTTTCTTGCTGATTCAACATTCTCCTCGATTATCACATCTGGAGTTTTTGATGGTCTATCACCATTTGTGGCTCAGATGGCTGAGTTGTTAGTATCCTACCTGCATCTTTTGTCACACCAACCTTATGAAGTTTCTTGATGCTCTTTTCATCTTTTTCTCTCTTCATTGGTTGTTGTCCATGTCAGGTTCTGGGGTTTTGTTCCTGGTTAGGTTGTTTGTTGATCAGCATCTTATACCTGTTACTATTGGCTCTTAATGTTTGGCCTTTTGTTGGAATTCAGCTCCGACATTTCCTCGTGTACGATGCTGTAAGTTACCTAGTGTGTTCTTTCACTTCTGGCTTGCTCATTTTCTTTGTAAGCCTTCCTGGTTTATGGATCGGGTGTTGGGTTTTCTTTTATCACCTAGGCTCTTGGTCATCGTTTTGGTCTGTGGTACATTGTTCAAGGGTTTGTTTTTGCTTGCCCTCATTTCCAGTTGTTAGGTTGGGGAGTTCCATGCTCTCCTCTGGAAGTGGGGATTCTGTTCCTTCAACCCTGGTGGGCAGTTTCTTTGTATGCAGCTTTCTACTTTTCTGGTGAAGAATGAGATGGTTGACTCTTGGAGGGGTCCTTTAGTTATTGATTTGTGGTTTGTTCAGCTGGGGAGGGAGCCGGTCGGCCGAGCGGACAGCATGCTGGGCTTGTGATACTGTGGTCCTGGGTTCGATCCCAGGCGCCGGCGAGAAACAATGGGCAAAGTTTCTTTCACCCTATGCCCCTGTTACCTAGCAGTAAAATAGGTACCTGGGTGTTAGTCAGCTGTCACGGGCTGCTTCTTGGGGGTGGAGGCCTGGTCGAGGACCGGGCCGCGGGGACACTTAAAAGCCCCGAAATCATCTCAAGATAACCTCAAGATAACCACCTATACTCTGTTGATGAGATTCAAGAAGGGGATGCATCACTTTGTATGTCCAGTTGCAACTGTTGTTACCTGTGTGCCACCCAGACTGCTTCTGGGGATGCATTGTTTGTTGATCCTGTTTCCTTGGTTCCCTGTTCCTAAAATTTTTTTTTCCAGTTGTCCGAAGTTTCATTATATCTATCCAGTCTGTGGTCTACCTTACGGCCCATGATGTTTGTAAGTTTACAGCTTTAATCATAGTCGTTTCTAATATGTCTTGGGCTGATATCTAGACTTGTGGGTTTTGGAGGCCTGACAGGTTCCTGGTGGATCCTGTTATGTAGTCAGTGTTCTTTATGTCCTTTGGGCTTTTGTTGCTTTGGGTCGGGGTTCCTGTCCTGGGTTACCTTCTTCGAGAGTAATCTTCGCTCTCCTCCTCCCTGGTAAGTCTCGGTTTACTTATTCTCTATAGTTAGTTTCAGAGATTCGCCATCCTACCATCCAGAAAACCTGCAGTGAATATAATGATTTGCCACTTTCTCACTGAGCATCAGTAGCTCCCTGATCCCTTTCTCCATCATTTCTAGGTGCAATGGATGGTGTGGTCTATGCTACAAATTGAGCAGTGTTAACATGGGAGCCATCAGCTCCCAGTGGTACTGCCACCTAGTGGTGGCCAACTCTAACTAGAAGGGTTTGAATTGATTGCTGCTTCATTTCTTGTTTCTCTGTGAACCTAGCAGTTGTTTGTTTTTCTTCACTTACTTTCTGGATGTTTCCTTGGTGAGGGGTGATTTTAAAGAATCTCCTGCTCTCTGTGCCTCTGTGATGGGGGGCCAGGTTTTGGCTCTCGTCTCCAACAGGGTATTAACACACTTTCGTGGACCAGCCTCTCCATGCGTTCCTAACTGTAAATGTTCTGGGATCCCCAGGTGGCTCGTGGCAACTCAGTGTTGTGAAAAACGTTTACAATAATTTAACATTTTCTAACTTATTTGTTGAGTTATAACAATATATTTGGTGTCAAAATGTTTCCAAATGTCTAGAGAATAGATGCAAAACCCCAAAAGTATGTATAATAGAATTTAGTCCTCTCTGCACTTTGCGGAACGTAAACCTAACACACTCGGCAGGTTTCCCTTAGCGATGCTTAAAATGTTTTTAATAATTTCACATTTTCTTGGTTATTTCTTGAGTTATAACTATACATTTGGTGTCAAACTGTTTGCAATTGAATTTTCTAGGGAATAGATGCAAAAACATAATTTTATTTATAACAGATTATGCATGACAACAATGAATATATGAATGATTCATTACTAGTAATCTGATAGCATGTTTTAATGTCATCGAACATTTACTGTTAGAGTGCAGATGAGGCTAACGCACACGTCATCAGAATGCAAACATGTTAATGACTCCTGGGGCTGATGTGACCCATATGTGTGGAACTCTCTTAGTGTGGTTAGCTTCTGGGAGTCACTGAAGCCCAACCAGAAAGAGGCATTTCATTACTTGTTTTTAGTTATAATGCTTATATTGTTTTACAGCTCATGTGAAGACTAGAGAGAACAAGTGGTTTAACTTTAATGATGAACAGGTCTCGGAACTGACAAGTCGATCGACGGGTGGAAATCCTTCCGAGAGTCACCGCAACTACTTCAGTATTGGTATGTTGCAGTAATGATCAAATTAAAGATTAAACAGTTGCATTATAAATTGTCTGGAAGAATTGCAGTCATGTGATGCAATAAGCAGTAGTCACAAGTGTCTGATTGATTATAATTGTTCAAGCTAATTTTGCTATGGAGTTTCAGAAAATAAGGTAAAGGAATTGATGTACTATTAGCAGTCATGAGGGAAATGGAGGATTTTGAGAGAAAAGACTTTCAAAAGTGAAGAGAATATCCGTGGCTATATGACAGATTAACATTTCAGCTGTGTATCCCATCAGGTGACTGGGTGGTTAATTATGCTCAAAGTGTACATCCCATCATGGGAAATATTAGGGTGCAGCATAAGATTTTAAAACTCCCACGGGTACACGGGGTTCACATTGGCTATCTCCGGTCTACAGGAAACGGATACCATTTTGAAAAAAATATAAAAAAATCATGGGCACTGTTCCTGGGTGCGATGGCATCAGTACTGAGTGAACAATCAAGGCTGGTGCATGCAGCATGAGCTTACTGAACAAATCCACAAGGGCCGTGACGAGGATTCGAACCTGCGTCTGAGAGCATCCCAGACGCTGCCTTAATCGACTGAGCTACAACATGGTCAAAAGGAGTTGAAACCAAAGTTCTGCTGAACTTACTGGATCCTGCAGCCTCTCCGAGGCACAAACCAGGGTTTTACACAACTTCCCCCCCATGCACTCGAGCTATGTCAATAGGCCATTCTCCCTCTTCACCCTTACTTCATTACACACAGAAATCACAATTGCGTGATGCATCAAATGAACAAATCCACAAGGGCCGTGACATAGCTCGAGTGCAGGGGGGAGTTGTGTAAAACCCTGGTTTCTGCCTCGGAGAGGCTGCAGGATCCAGTAAGTTCAGTAGAACTTCGGTTTCAACGCCTTTTGACCATGTCGTAGCTGTCGATTAAGGAAGTGTTTGGGATGCTCTTGGACGCAGGTTCGAATCCTCTTCACGGCCCTTGTGGATTTGTTCATTTGATGCATCACGCAATTGTGATTTCTGTGTGTAATGAGCTTACTGCACTGCTGCTCAGCTTGTGTCCACAGCCTCACTTAAAAATGATGAAATATATAAGTAACTGCTGTTATTTTGCGATGATAATATCATAGAAGATCCTGACTGTAATAAAGATTATGTACAGTACAATGTTCAGATATCAGTGAACACAATGCTGTTTATGATGTTCACAGTGTGATGCAGAGCCACAGCACTCTGCCATTGTCTGGTGTATCTACACATCATGAAATGACATCATGCTCCTTTAGAAAATAAACATGTGCAAAATGATTAATATTCAGGATTTAGTGACCAGGATGCTGATAATAATAGCAACATTGTGCCTAGAGTTAGTGATAGGTGGCATTAATGGCATTGGAGGCATTATGTTTAATCAGGTGGCATCGCATATGCTAACTAGCATGTTGGTGTTGTGTGTGTGGAGCCCATCACACCACCTTAGTGATTTGTTATGGTGCACAAAAATGTAGACATTTATGTATATATAAATAGTTTATATGCAGTGTAATAACAGCAAAAGCACTGTTTTCTTGTTCTAAGACTATAATATTGTAATCTTGTCACTAATATGCATGCCATATTTTCAGTATATTGATGTTCTGCACATTTTATCATATAAATTTATCAAATTATGCATTATTGTTATTAGGATGCTGATAATAATAGCAACATTGTGCCTAGAATTAGCGATGTACATAATATAATGTGATGCATTCTGCTGCATCATATTGAGTAATCTGCTAAGATGGTCTGGTGGTAGTGTGGGTGCTGTCCTTGGTCATTACCATACTCACCAGACCAGCTGTATGATTTGTTATTATGCATGAATATGTGTATAGTTATATAGTGTGTGTATACAGTATAATACCAGCAAAAACTGAATGTTTTATTGTTCAAAACAAATAATATAGTACTTATCTTTGAAACACAAATATATCTGTGCATACCTATGATTGATACAAATAACATTATTGACAGCCCATTGTCATACCTTTCTTGGTCATACCTTGATGGGGTTCTGGGAGTTCTATTCCACAAGCCCAGCCCGGGGGGCCAGGCTTGACTTGCAAGAGCTTGGTCCAACAGGCTGTTGCTTTGAGCAGCCCGCAGTCCCACGTACCCACTACAACCTGGTCGGTCCAGCACTTCTTGCAAGAAAACTGTAGTCTGTTTAACTCAACAGTAAAATCGGTACTTTGTTGTAAAAATGATTCTTCACGGCGGAGATCGTATTCCAGGGACTTGCCGGAAACACTACGCGTACTAGTGGCTGTACAAGAATGTAACATCTCTTATATATATCTCAAAAAAAAAAAAACTACCAAGTTTCTCTTAAAGATGTCCACATTTGTTTTGGCAATATTTCTTATGCTCACTAGGAGGATGTTGAACAACTGTGGACCTCTGATGTTCATGCAGTGTTCTCTAATTGAGCCAATGGCACCTCTGTACTTCACCGGCTCTATTCTGCATTTTCTTCCATATTGTTCACTCCAGTATGTTGTTATTTTACTGTGTAAATTTGGGATCTAGCCTTCTAATATTTTCCATGTATATATTATTTGATACCTCTCTCGTCTCCTTTCTTAAGAGTACATTTGGAGAGCTTTGAGATGGTCCCAATATTTTAAGTGCTTTACAATGTCTATATATGCCATATATGTTCTCTGTATTCACTCTTATTTCAACAATCTCTCCTGCTCTAAAGGGGGGAGTGAGTATCGAGCAGTACTTAAGACAGGACAGCACAAGTGATTTGAATAGTATGATCATTGTGATGGGGTCCCTGGAATTGAAGGTTCTCGTAATCAATATTATCATTTTTCTGGCTGACGCAATATTTGCTAGGTTATGCTCCCTAACCCTTACACTGCTCAGGGGTCCTTGGAACATTTACACCCCTGTGCGCAAGAAAAAAAAAATTCAAAAAAAATTTTTCGTCTTCTAAACATGTTAATTTGTGTCCCCTGAGCATGGAAAAAATAAAAAAAAAATCGTAGGTGACATATTTTGGGCGCAATTGACCGAGGAAGTCTGGCAAAAAGTGGGCGTTGACAGAGCGGTCGTCAGACCTGGTCAGCGTCACCCGCGTTGACAGATGGGAGTTGCCACAAAGATATTATTACCTAATTGTTTCAATGTCTCCGATTGATTTTTTCTTAGTTTTTTTGCAGTAATATTATTCAATAGTGTGTATTGTAATATATTTATATAATAAAAGTGGTTAATAATCGCTATACTCAAAAGTATGATGTGCATATTAGTGATTCAATTATTATGTTTATAAAACTATAAACAAATAGTTTTGCTGCTATTACACTCTATACACAGGTTATATATAAGTATTGGCATGTTTTGGTCACCATAACGAACCACTAAATTGGTATTGAGAGTCGAAAAGCAACGAGGAGTTACCGCCACACACCAGCCAGCCACTCGCTGCCACTCCCTCAACACACGCACTAAACTTTCTCCCCCAACAATACCAGTTGTGGTGTTATTACACTATATACAGACGTTATATATAAGTATGTGTATATTTTGTTCACCACAACTGTACAGCTAAGCTGATATAGTTAGTTCAGGCAGTAAGAGTCGTCGCTATACACAGATGGCAGCTGGCGGCTCCCTCACTCTTTCAAGGTCACATGCACTAAACTTTCTCCCCCAACAATACCTTTTGCAGTGTTATTACCCTGTATACACATATTATATATAAATATCTATATGTTTTATGCACCGTAACTGTACACCTAAGCTTGTAGTGCGCCCAAAGAGCATAGTGGCCACCCTCTAAACAGCTAGACAAATCGTGCAGACGACGTCACCTCCGTCACCCATATGGCTCCTCCCAGCATAATCCTTTTGCTGTTATTACACTAATACACACATTATATATAAGTATCTACATTTGTGTTCACCATAGAGAACCACTGACCTGGTATGGTGAATGCAAACAATAACAGGTGGGTACACAGTCAGTAAACGATGCTGTCTCCCTCCGTCTCTCAGCATCACTCCTCCCACAGCGCTAATTATTACAACAATCCTGCTATTACCACAACCCTGGTTATTTATATCACAGTCATTGGTCATCTGTAAAATTGTCATCGCTAAATAATAACAATTATATATTTATTTTGACATTTTTCGGCGATGCTGTGGTCACAAGCTGAACATCAATGCTGTTCGCTCATGCTGCGTGCGCCGACCTTGGTTGCTCCAACAGTACTGTGGCTCTCACACCTGAGAATATTGCCCACGATTTTTTTTTTAAATGGCATCTGTTTACAAGAGCCCTGAGGAAGCTACTGTGAACCCCGTGTAGCCGCGGGCCATTTGAATCAGGCCTGGCACCCTATGGCGTATATATACGCCATGCGCACCATGGGACATGTTACTCAGGGCGTATATATACGCCATGCGCAGTTTAACCCTTAACATGCTCGGGGTCTAATATCCTGCTATCCACACAGGCGCATGTCATTTTGAAAAAAAAAAAAAATTTTTTTTTTTGCTAATCTGTTAAGTTCTGTTCACTGATCACGGGAAAAATAAAAAAAAAATTCTATTGTACTTACTTTTGTTGCAATAGAGCCGAGAAGCTCTGCGATGACGTCACAATCTGCATGGTCGCTCATGCAGTACACGCCCGGGAGATGTTGCGCGCGGTCCTCAAACAGCCAGAGTTGCCACAAATATATTTTCGCGCTATTTATTTACAATGTCTAAGCGCATTTTATCTAATTTTTTTTCACTAATTGTGTTTCAAATACTGTTTGAACATATTTTGTATCAATAATTGTTGCATATTTGAGTATACACAGGCGCACACAAATGTTTTCAATTACGGCAATATAATATGTCATTACAGTCTATTATATTATATGTTCGGCTTATATGTTTACATATTTACACACTCGCACACGCTATACACACTTTGAAGCACACTTAGAAGATTTCTAGACTGTGGTAGTCATTGAAGCAGTCGACAGCACATAATGGGATACCACACGTTTCACACCATGTTTGCACAAGCTTCCGTTTCTTGTCTCTACGTGTCGTTGTTTTACACACCAAGCAATCACGTTGGGCTATTGCACGCTTCACACCAGGTGGCAAATACTTAAGTTTGTGTGCTAGGAAGCCTTCAGTGTGAGCGAGGCGTGGAGTACCAGCATGCTGCAACAGTGGGTTTATGACACGTATCCTGTTTCACAATCACAAAGAACAAAAAATTTCAGGCCAAATCGGTTTCGTTTTGAGGGAATGTACTGTTTGAATGGAACACGTCCCTTGAAAAGTATGAGAGATTCATCAACCACCAGCTTCTGTGCTGGTACGTAAAAATCTCTGAATTTTCCAATAACATCGTTCATGTAGTGCCTCACTCGCCACAGTCTATCATCAGGTGTTCGGTCCTGAACACTTCCAAAATGTAGACACCTGAGGAGTATCTGAAACCTGTCTCGTGACATATATTTCCCGAATAAAGGTGTTGGTATTGTCTTGTCCTTGCTCCAATAGTCATTTATTGCATGTTTGTGACAGTGCTTCATCAACAAACAGAGTGCCAAAAACACATACATTTCCGCCACTGTGGTATTTTTCCAACGCTGCAGTCGTGAAAATTCTGTGATTTCCCTCTCAATCAGGTAAGCAGCATGCAGGTTCGTTTGGTGTACAATGTATTCCATGAGTGGTTCATCATAGAATGCTGTAAAATATTCCATCTCAGCCATGTCCTCACCTTGATTAGGGAAAAGGTTTGTAATCCCTACATCTTTATCGTCAAAGTGAGGAATATTAGGAATAAAATCGTCACCATCACTCCACTCAAGTACACCAGGCGTCCTGCGAGATGCAGAGGAAAGACGGCGAGGAAGCGATGCATACCGGCGACCAGGAGCTGAATACCGTCTGCGAGAAGCACGGCGGCTACGTGCACGTGAGGTGGGTGCACGTGAGGTGGGTGCATTTGGTGCCATGCGGTGGCGCTTGGCTGGGCGAGATGCTGCTGACGCGACAATTTCTCGCCCAGTTACACCACTGGTACCAGCCACAGGCTCAATAAAACTTTGATCTGAGTCACTAAACCCAGAAAAGGAGTCACCTCCCTCTAACTCGTCACCCTCAAACAGAAAATATCCACAGGAACTGTGAGGTCGTGGTAGAATTGGAGTAGAAAATGGGCGAGGAGGCATGGGAGAGCGTATAGGCCTCGCTATGGCATGGCGGTCATTTTCACTTTCACTGCTGCTGCTACTATCTCCCGACAACTGTGTATAATCCTCATCGTTGTCTGAATCGTCAAACACACTTTCTTCACCTTCAGAGAATAATTCGTGGGCTATTTGCTCTGGGGTGAGGGACTGAGTGATGCGTGCTCGTGAGGCGTTTGACCGTGCGCTCGCCATGGTGACTCTCGCTAAACTGAGGCCTCCCATGCCATCGGAGCGTGAGCTGGATTTTTTTTCAAAATGGCCGCTGTTTACTAGAGCCCCTGGGCAGCGTATGGGACCCCCAGCTACACCGCGGGCCATTCAAATCGTGCGCGGTACCCATACACTTCATATGAAGTGAAGCGCAGTTGACTGGTAAAACGATTTACACTTCATATGAAGTGATGCGCACTTTAAGGGTTAAGGGCTAAACAATAGGTCATCAGACATCATTATTCCCAGATCCAAGATCTAGCAATTTTACCATTGCTCTTGAAAAACAACCACCTGGCAGCACTCAGGTGTAATTAACGAGTGAACTGCTTCACAATCGGGTGGGCCATTTGGTTTGAGGTCTAATTTCTGTTTGCTTTGTCTACTGTGTTGATTGTCTGTTTTGGCTTGCCCATCTTTTGGTGAAGTTTCCTTGGTTAGGGTGATTTAGTGTCCCTCTGCTCTTTGCACTTCTGTAATGGAGACCAGGTTTTGGCCTCCGCTCATCAATAGGCTTACAATGACACACAAGGGCCTGGCATGGATTGAGATGGGCTGAGCTATTCTAATAGCTAGCAACAAAGAGCCACCAAGACCCCACTGGAAAGAAGCATTTCTTTACATTCAATGATGACTTTTCAATGTACAAAACTATATTGCTAACTGTGTAATTTTGGTGATAACCACATACCATTCATAATTTATTGGTACTAAATTATCAGCAAAACATTATTAGGAAGTGTTCCTTACGGCTACAGAGTTTGTTCCCTAGGGTTTTAACTAGTATATCTCACCTTCAAATATCTTGTGTGTTTGAATATACACATACTGTACCCAACTTACTTTTAGAAAGCAGTCACACATCAGGTCTTGATATGAAGATATTTTAAACCTCTTAACATTTTTCATCATATTATATATGCCTTACATATTTGTATAGCCTTGCAATGTGGAGTTCTATTCAAATGTCCATAATATTTGTTCCAATATTACCATTGCTAAGTAAAGCTTGAGATAGGTTTATATGAAAAGAAACAAAACCATAGCAGGAAATAATGTTGTGAAAAAAGAGTTGGCACTTCTGACTTCAAGATATTGAAGAAGCTCAAGAATAATGAGCCCAAATGAGCCCCTGGGATGCAAATTAAGGAACAACAAAAATATTAAGCTTCCATTTTAATCTTGAGTAGATTTAGGCAGTTGAAGATCAGTAGATTTTTAAAGAAACCTTAAGTAGGCTCTTATTAACTATTGGCAGGAATATCCAGTGTTTATCCCAGTGTGTATGCTACATTGGTGAGTGTTTATTTGTTATTGCTTTAGCTAAGTTATAGGTGACTTATATGATCAATTTTTGAGTGAGGAAGACTTGGAACTTCCTGGAACCTGTTTTTCCCCATATGCTTTAATTCATTGTTGGTAAATTCACAGTAAGCATAGAGAACTTTTCTAGTGAATTAAGAGATGTCTACTGTTTAAGGTACTGCACAACATTTTGATGAATGGTGTGAAAGTAAATACATTAATCAAAATCTAAAATTTTTAATTTCTTGATCACCATATTGAGAAATGTTAGATATTTTTATTATTCATTTTTCAGCAAATGTGGCCAATAAGTACAAACACCGTTCAGGATTGAGAGTCTCTCGTGGTGCATTTGTTTGGATTTACGTGAGGAGCAATATCTCGGAGTCAGAAGAAACCCACGTGCCACCACCTGAATCCATAGTTGAATATGTTCTCAAAAAACAGGAGGAAAGTATGGTAAGTAAAATTAATACCAAATGTACAAACTGGTTATATTTTGTAACATAATGAACAGGTATTCCCAGTGTTTCAATGTGATAACTATTGCAAAAATTTTAAATATCATAGGTGCTATATATCCAGAATTATATTATAATGATATGGGACTATAATTTAGAGGATCTTCTTGACTACCATTTTTATAGATTAGTACTATGTTTGCCTTCTTCCATATATCTGCTAAGAATCCTGTGCATAAGGATGTCTGGAATATGAATTGGAGTGGAATGCTTATCTCAGTTGCACATTCTTGCAGTACCCAAGGTGAAACTCCGTCAGGTCCAACCACTAATTTTTCCATGTGTGGGCGAGTACTTGCTCTTACTCATGAGGGTTCTCGGCACACACCCTCCACTGCACCTCCTGCATTGGCTGTGATTTGGAATCCTTTTTATATTTCTTAGTTTTCTCCATCAGTTGAGGGTCTGTATAGCTATAGTTCATGCATTCCCAACTTTTCATGATGGTGTGTTGGCGGCAGTAGCAGGTGGGTCTGTTCCATCCTGGGTTTTGATGGTGGCCTTGGAACCTATCTTTGATCTGACACCCACTTGGTTTTGTGGTATGTCTGATAATCCTTCTCTTTCTTCCATTTGGTTTTGTGCCTCAGCTCTATTTCTGATGCTTCCTTTCCTGTAATGGGATTAATTTCAAGTTTTTAGGTTTCATTGGAAGAGGTCCTAGGTTTTTCTGTTTCTGTCTTTGTGGGTTTGTTGCAGCTAGGCTAGAGAAATTATTTCTCCCCAGGAGGCTTGAGTTGTCTTCCTCTCCTCAGTATTTTCTCCACTTCTGCTCCAGGACATGTTTCTGAGTGCTGAGTTCATAGCATAGTTACGCTCTTCTATAGGTATTTAGGGGTGGTCTGCCTCCTCGATCCCTCTCTCCCTCCCTCCCTGCTGTGGCTGGTTTTTCAGCTTCCTGGCTTCTGAGCTGTAATTTGCCTTAGTTTGTTTTCTTGTGGGAGGTTTTTCACCACCATGCTGGGCTCTGGAGTCTATCTCTCACTTTTAAGGGTGGGGTGTTTTTCCTGGAGTTCACTGGTCTTCCTGCTATGCTGGTGGCAGCTTCACAGGGCCTTGGAGAGAGGTTGTTATTTATGATTGAATATACAAAATGACTGCTTCAGGCTTAGACATGTCATTTTTTCAGCCTTGGCATTGTTGTGTTTGCCCTGAGTGTGAATTTACTTGGCATTGGGATGCACTTCCCTGCCCTGGGTCTGCACCAGTTCCTCGGCTGTGTACCTGCTGGTTCTGTGTCTGAGCGATTTGTGATTTCTTGGCTGAGTTCTTGCAATTCTCTGGCCGAGTGCCTTACGGTTTCTGTTATTTCTTGGTGGGGGGAGGGGGGGCTGAGGTAAGGTAAGATAATTATCAGGAGAAAGCTCCAAGCCATTATGACTATACAGTATAGCACTAACCTGGAGAGGGTTTGGGAGTTCTACTACCCTAGCCCGGCCTGGGTCCAGGCTCAACTTGGAAGCAATAGTACTTGCAAGGGATGAGGATAAGGAATGATGCCCAATCACTTGAACGGTCGGGATTGATCGTTGACCAACAAGAAATAAGACCATCACTCTACCATCCAGTCCAAGTGGTTAAAGGGACTGAGTGCATTGCAGTTTTGCAATGCACTTGATTTCTATTTTGTTTTCAGACTAATTGCCTGATGGTTAATCACAGCAGCATATTCTGCTATCTGATGGTAAATGAGCACATTACAGCAAAGGTGGCAACCCCCATGGCTACAATTGTTTGCATTATTTTCCTCAGGTTTATTATTTTTTCTAATATGTTTATATTTTGATGCACTTGTTATTTCTGGTGTGTTGTTTCTCAGTTTTGGGTTAATCTCCACTATGCAAGCTCCTCTTGCCTCAGAGAACCATTTCCTGATCCTGGGGCCAGATTCACGAAGCAGTTACGCAAGTACTTACAAACGTGTACATCTTTTCTCAATCTTTGACGGTTTTGGGTACGTTTATTAAACAGTTTACAAGCATGAAAACTTCCCAATCAACTGTTGTTATTGTTATAAACAGCCTCCTGGTGCTTCGGAGCTCATTAAATGTTTAACAATTGTAAACAAAGCTGCCAAAGATTGAGAAAAGATGTACAGGTTCGTCAGTGCTTGCGTAACTGTTTCGTGAATCTGGCCCCTGGCTTCCAGTAGGCTCAGGTGGGTCTCAGATACTTAGTGCAATTTTCTTAGGCTTTATAGTCCTAATACTATATCTTGGGAAGCTTGTGAATGACCCAGCAGAGAAAGGTGTTTCATTACATTCAGTGTAGTGCTTCAGTGCTTATGCACGTTACTCAACACCACATAATCTTATGAGTTTTTTATAAACGTAATTGTACACATTTTCTCATCGGGTTATATTTTGTGTTCTCTGCAGACTGTAAATCACCAGCGACAAGCAGAGATGAGGAAGGAAAAAGAAGAACTGTTATCCCAATTGGCTGTGGTTGATATGTCTGAAGACTACTCACTTATCTCAGAACCCCTCCTAAGTGCCTGGTTTAATGATGATGATCTTCACTATATTCCACAACCATCAGTTCTTGCTCAAGTTCTCTGTGAACATAAACTTTTCAATCCACTAAAATTTCACTTAATTAAGTGTGTAAGAACTGAAGGGGTGAGTATATTTTCCTTAAAATATTTATTTAACCGTTCTGCTTACTATGAAAATAACAAATGAGGTAATGATGATGACAATGCACAAACAAAAATATTTTGCCTCGTATGTTATGAATTATGTTATTAATGGAAATTGTCTCATTAACACTTTTGTCCGGCGGCGACTCAGTCTGCGTCAACAAATAAATTGATGGATGTCCGCTGGTGACGCATGATGCATTAAAGTTTAAAATTTTTGTTAAAATTATATTTTTTATCCAGTCATTATGAGACTAGTTTTAAAATGTGTGCCTTTAGATTGTAAACAATTTGATACCAAAATGAACGACATAGCACGACAATTGAGGTCAGAACACCGGAAACATTATAAATACTTGTGGTGATCGCTGTCCAAAATTAAAATATTTGTTAAAATTACATTTATTGTTTGATTATTATGGGATTAGTTTGAAAAGCATGCGCCTTTAGATTGCGAACAATTTGATACCATAATGAACGATGTAGCATGACAGTTGAAGTTAGAACACTGGAAAGATTATAAATACTTGTGGTGATGAGCGCCCAAAATGAAAATATTTGTTAAAATTCCATTTACTGTTCGATTATTATGGTACTAAATGTCAAAATGTGTATGTAACTGTTATTATTTAGCGGTGATAGTATTACAGGAGATCCCCTGACTGTTAATAATGACCAGGATTCTGATAATAGCAGGATTGTGGTGATAATTAGCACTGTGTGTAGTATGGTGGGAGGAGTAATCTTGGTGAGGGAGGGAGGTAGCGTCGTCTGCTGACTGTGTAGCAGCCTGTTATTGTCTGGACTCACCATACCAGCTTAGTGGTTCACTATGGTGAACACAAATTTAGATACTTATATATAATATGTCTATATAGTGTAATAACAGCAAAAGGAGTATGTTGGGAGGAGCTGTTTTGGTGAGGAAGGTGGCATCGTCTGCTGGCTGGTGTACTCACCTATTTGTGCTTGCGGGGGATGATCTTTGGCTCTTTGGTCCCGCCTCTCAACTGTCAATCAACTGGTGTACAGATTCCTGAGCCTACTGGGCTCTATCATATCTACATTTGAAACTGTATGGAGTCAGCCTCCACCACATCACTGCCTAATGCATTCCATCCGTTAACTACTGATACTGAAAAAGTTCCTCCTAACGTCTCTGTGACTCATGTGGGTACTCAGTTTCCACCTGTGTCCCCTTGTTCGCGTCCCACCAGTGTTGAATAGTTTATATAGTTGAATAGTTTAGGTGTGTGACTTGTCATGCTGTATAGGCTGGCCACTGCTGTTCAGACACCATACCTGCTTAGTTGTACAGTTATGGTGAACAAAACATGTAGATAATTACATATAATGTGTATATGTAGTGTAATAACAGCACAAACACTGTGGTGGGAGGAGGAATATTGGTGAGGGAGGGAGGGAGCATCAGCTGTGTGTTGCGACCCCTGTTATTGTCTGATCTTACCATACCAGCTTAGTGGTTTGCTATGGTGAACACACATGTAGATACTTACATATAATGTGTGTGTGTGTATATAGTGTAATAACAGAACAAACAGTATGCTGGGAGGAGCCATTTTGGTGAGGGAGTGAGTGAGTTGCTGTTGTCTGCTAGCTGCTGTGTCACTTAAATTTAAATTTAAATTTTGCCTAGAAGGGCGAGTTTATTGGGCAGCGCCACTCATCCTGTGAGTGATCATACCGCCATATCAGCATGCACAACACTCCCCAATAGGAAGAAAACCCGCTGGGTTGTTCATCCTGTCACTTGTACTCAGACACAGCTGGGACTTGCTTAACTGTCTCAAGTGAACAGCTGCTCAAACAAGATTAACATATGTCAACCCTTATAGTCTTATGTTATCTTCCAGGTGCAAAATGGGGAAATCTTTTAAGAACAGTATCAATATTTAACAAATGGTGTTTTCCTAACTCAAATAATGTGGGGTTTATTATTCTACACATATATCTAATGTCCCTCAGGTGTTCACATTCACGTAGATAGTGGTCAAGGCGGTGTCCATCACTGAGTTACTTGTCATGCAGTTTTCTGTGGCCACCATGTTGTTTGGGCACCATACCAGTTATGGTAAACAAAATATTTAGATACTGTACTTATATATAAAACATGTGTATATAGTATAATAACAGCAAAAACAGTTTGATCGTAGAATATAATATACATGTCACATATATGAGCCCCATAATTTTGAGTATGGCGATGTTCCACACATTGAACTACATATATAAATTCCACAAATTACACACTTTTGAATAATATTACAGCAAAAAACCAGAGAAGAAACGAATGAGAAACATCAAAATAATTGTGAAAAATTATAATCACGGCAACTGCCACCCCACGGGGTGGCGGGGTCAAGTGACCCCGATCTCTCTATCGCTCAGCGCCCATAATTTGCTCAACTTCTCGGCTCCATCGCAGCTAAAGTATGTCACATACAGTATTTTTTTTTTTTTTAGTTTCCCGTGATCAAAGACTGCATTTTAATATAAGAAGAGAAAATAATTTTTTGCAAAGAACTTAATTTCAGCACACTATGGGAATGTCATATCTTAACGGCGCGCAGTATGCGGCCTTCTTCTCACAGAACTATCTCCTTCCACATATGCAGAAGTATCTCCTTCCACATATAAACTGACTTCTCACAGAAGTATCTCCTTCCACACATGAACTGACTTTTCACAGAAGTATCTCCTTCCAGGTAAAGGCCATAGCGAATCATCAGTCTTGGATTCACCAAGATGAGGCTCTACTAAAATTAGGTCTGCCACTGAGCTTGCAAGCAGATACTGGCTGTTGTAAACATTGCATACTTAAAGCTGCTAACCACATTTTGTTTATAGAAAGAGTCAAGGCTCTCCACAAGCAAGCTAAGAAAGATGCTCGAAGAGAACATGACAGGTTGGTTTTATATTTTATTATGGTTGTATTGCACAGTTGTGTTTTTTCTTAGTTGAAATATAGTTTTTCTGTGGGGAGCCCCTAAGGCTCCCCGGGGCCTTCTGGGCTGATGTATATGTATTAGACCATGGCATCAGTCGATGGAGTTCTTGCCTACCGGGGACCATGAGCCAAAACCTGGCTCCCTCAGAAAGGCATGAGGAGCAATGGCCTATAGAAACCCCCATGTATTTGGAAGCAATCAATGCCTGCCATCGACCGGGGTTTGGCACCCAGAAAGGTAGGCGTAACAAAACAAACCCTACATGGTAAAAATTGCTACCTAAAACCGAACAGGGAGGCAGATCTCCCAAACTAAAACAAGTAGTTTCCCAGACTAAAACAAGCCGGCCACTCCAGCAATCAGTTCCCCGGCTGATGTGGACTGTGGCGGTCGTCAATTCTGGCCTCTGACTCTTTGCAGTTCTGTTCCTTGTGGTGTGTGATGTGCAGGCCAGGAATAACTGATCAGTACTGGGGCTGTATGCACTTAGAGCCACCTTCCCTAAGCATCCTGTAAGTACTATCCATGCGTCTTGGGGTTCCCTTCCACATGGCGTTTGGGTAACTGCTTCCGTAGGGGTCTGTTGCTGCTCAGCAATTGCCCGCCCTAGGGGCCAGCTGGGGTTTTTTGTAGCCACCGTTTGGCCTTGGGTAGGAAGTGGTATCATTGCTGGTAGGGGTGCAAGATATTGTACAGCTTGTCTCCCATTATACACAGCCGCCGGTTCTGTTCCTCCTGGAGACGTTGTGCTTATGCAATATTATTACTATTATTAATATTATTATTATTATTTTTTTTTTTTTTTTTTTTTTTTTTTGCCTGGTGGAGGTCTGCCCCTTTGGTTTATCCACCCTTATGTTATATTGGTGGTCCTCTGCAAGGCCCTCGTGCTTGTACATGTCGCAGGATTTCAGGTTTTTAGCAGTTCTCTTGGTAGTTTGGGCCCAACTGGTTAGCGATACCTTGCTTGGGCTTCCATTAGCATTCAGTCTATGGACCCTGGAAAACCCCATTGGGGCTCTTTGGACCCATGGATGCATCCTCTGGGTTCCAACTCGCTAAGCGCGAGTTTGAAGATTGCTTGTTTGAAGATTGAAGTTTGAAGATTGATTGTTTGAAGATTGGGTGACACTCGCCAGTTTTGCCTCTGTCATCCTGCCTGTTGGGCCAATGACACCTTTGATCTTGCGAGTCCTGTTCCTTGCTCATACTCTAGTTTACCATTCTACTGATAGTGATGTTTGGATATAGGCGGCTTCGGCATTGCATGCTAGATATTGGTTGCTCATCCGGATGCCCCGAGGCTGTCCCGCTTGGGTTATAGGGGCCCACAGTGAAGGTATAGAAACGATGTAGTAAGCCAACACAGCCTGGCTCCGGTGGCTGGGAAGGCCTACCTCTTTGTGCTGCATTGGAGCATGCAAATACCCAGTGTGCTCGACGCCAGCTAACACCACTCTCAACCCGAGTAAAGGCAGAAAAATTTGAAGACACCTGACTCATCCTGGGTGAGGGCAAACAAGCAAGGAGAACATTCAAGGGAGCAACTCCCAAATACCCCAGGGAAGATAACAATGAAGTGCAAGGGCAGCACAAGAGAACACAGGGAAGAGAACCCAGTGCCTGTACAACTCGAAACTCTCTGATGTCCAGGCTCACACAACATGCTGGCTGACCATGGGCTCCCCCCCCCTCCCCCACCACCATAGGTGGGGGATGTGGGGAAATGAACTAGTACTAGTTTCAAAACTTTTTGATTGTTTACACTGTTGGGGAAATCCTTCTGGCAGTTCTCGAGTCTTTGACCTTTTCTAAAGCCAGCTTGGGTCTGTTTTGTTTCTCTGACTTTTTTGGGTGCTTTTCCTGGTGATGGCATAATAAATACATGCCACTGCTCCCTGCACCTCTGTGTAGGGATCACGTTCTGGCTCTTGTTCCTCTGTAGGCCATATTGATCTCAGTGGCTGATGCAACCTAGTAGTTCCCACACAATCGGTGATTGCTGCTTCTGGGAGCCATCGGAGCTCACCCAAAAATTGGCATTTCATTATATTCAATGTTAGTTTTCTGTGATCTGGAGCGGAATAATCCAATTTATATTATTTCTTATGGGAAGAAATTATTCTGTACTCGAACTGATAGGCACACGAACGGTCTTTAGAATGATTTAGGTTTGAGTACCGTAGAGAAAATCAGCAGGAACCATGGAACCACGAGGAGGATTCGAATTTATGTTTTGGGTACTTCCACGCAACACCTTAGACCACTACACCATTGATACATCATGTTAAGGTGATCTCTTTGTGTATTTGTGTACCGAGGTTCCACTACATACGTCTGATATATACAACAACTAACATGGTAGTTGCTGTTGAGTGTTTCTCAAATTATTAATTGATTGATTCCTGAAGTATTTCATTGCTCTCAGATACTGTACTTTGTGAAGTTTACTGTTCTGTATATGCATAGTTTGTGATATATTAATCCTATATATCCTATTTTCAGAACAACTAAAGTCATTGGATTGGAAACTTTGGAATTTTGGCCAAGATTAGCATTAAGTGCCTATGTAAAGGAACATGGAATTGATATACAAGAGGAAGCAGAAGAAAATGTAATAGAGATTAACAAAAAAACTGAAGATAATATTAAGAATGGCAATCATATTGTGGGTTGTGATACAAAAGTTGACAGTTCTCATGTAAATGGTGATGGATGTGAAAAAACTGATAAAAAAACAGAATCAGATGGGGTGGTTATCTCTAGCTGTGATACTACAAATTTAGTGCCTGAAACTGATTTTAAAATTGCCTGTGATAGCCGGACAGGAAATGTAAATATTGACTTAGATCTAGAAGATAAAGATGAGAAAGTGTTAAATAACTTGGAGAAAAATGTATGCAATAGTGTTGGAAGTGAGACCAAAGAAGGAAATAGTGAAATAATGTTGTTTAATGAAGACATAGTATGCAACCACAATCTTCTCTCTCCAACTGCATATTCTTGCAAAATTCCTGAAGAATTGGCTCTTGAAATAATGAAGCTTTGTGGGGAATCGATACACCCAGCCATATACCAGGAAGATTTTAACAGTTGTCCAGATTGTGGGGTAAGTATGATCAACTATCATGCAATTGTTTTATTTATTGTTTCTTACATGAATCCAATGTGAAACTTTTATAATACCACCAAAACTCACGATGAGAAGAGCTTGCTTTTAATATTAAATAATCTATATCTATAATAGAGAATGTATGTCTGTCCATTTATTTGTCTATTCAAGGTTGGATTCTAGACACTTGGAGGTCTGGAGGACACTTGGACGCTTGTTGACACATTGGCCAACTAACACACAGTTAGAATATAGGGTATGGGAGTGCCATAGATCAGATCTGTGACTCAGTTAACCTGGAAGATCTGCAAATCCCATTCATCTGCAAAGGGTTCTGGGAGAGCTACTCAACAAGCCTGGCCTGAAGCCAGGCTTGACTCGTGAGAGCTTGGTCCAACAGGCTGTTGCTTGGAGTAGCTCGCAGGCCTACATATCCACTACAGACCATGGTTGGTCTGGCACTGTGAGCCTGCTGATTTTAGAAAAGGCCAATCTGCTGCTGATCTCGTGCAAAATTTCTCCACTAAGTGGTATCAGTCACTGGACAAGTCCAAGATCATTTATGTTATTGCTCTAGACATAGCAGGTGCCTTTGAATGGGTCTGGCACTCTGGATTAGTAGTGAAGCTTCAAGCACTAAGCATTTCAGCTCCATTTAAAGAGTTAATAAAAGACTACCTCCAAGAATGGACTCTTAGAGTAGTCCTCAATGGAGCAGAATCTGAAAGTCGCTCAATTGCTGCCAGCATACCACAGAGTAGTGTTCTTGGCCCTCTGCTTTGGAATGTCTTTTTCAACTATTTACCTGTAGCATACCTAGAGTATATTTCAGGAGTTCTTCTACTCTCCGAGGTTGGCCTAGGGACAGGGTCAACTTGTGATAACTTGGTCCAACAGGCTGTTGCTTGGAGCGTCCAACAAACCCATGTATTCGCTACAATCCAGTTGGTCCAGCACCTCTTGCAAAAATGTAAAAAAGTACTTCTTGAAGACATCCAGCTTTATTCTGCCAATGCTTGCTTGCTGGAAGGGTATTGAACAGCTGTGGACCTCTGATGTTAAGACATCAGACATGCTCTTTTGATTGTTCCTATGGCACCTCTACTCCTCACTGGTTCTATTCTGCATTTCCTTCTGCATCTTTTGCTCCAGTATGTTATTCTATTGTGCAAATTTTGGACCTGGCCCACCAGTATCTACCATGTATATATTATTTGATACCTTTCTCATCTCCCTTCCAGATAGTACATCTTGATAACTTTAAGAAGGTCCTAGTAATTAATTTTTTTGTTATTTTTTTATATATACAAAAGTTCTTACATTCTTGTAAAGCCACTCACATGCATAGCATTTTGGGCAGGTCCTTAATACTAATTTTCCCTGGAATACAACCCGCCAAATTGTTTAACAACCAGGTACCCTTTCACTGCTGGGTGAACAGGTGCACACAGTTAGGAATTGGTCCCTAGACAATTCTTCTCAGCCAGGATTTGGACCCAGGCCAAATCACTCGCAAAGCGCGGGACGAGTGTGTTACCACTGCGCCACGGGGACTGCTAATTTAAATGTTTTATTGTCTCTGTGCATGTTGTATAGCCTCTCTGTATTCCCTTTATTTCAGAATTTATTAAACTCAGAAAGGGGAAGGACTACTGAGCAGTACTCATGGCAGGACAACACCAGTGATTTAAATAGTATTAGCATTGCTGTGGGATCTCTGGATTTGAACATTCTCATAATCCATCCTATCATTTTACCGGTTGCCACTATATTTATTAGGTTATGTTCACTAAATGTCAGCTCATCAGACATCATAATTCCGAGATCTTTTACATGTTGCTTTCCTTCTGTGAGTAGGTCTGATTGTGTTCTGTACCCTGTATTTCGTTTAAGTTCCTCGTTTCCACCATACCTTAGTAACTGCAACTTACATCATTAAAAGTCATGTTATTTTCTGTTGCCCAATTGAAGACTTTATTAATATCGGGTTGTAGTTTTTCAGTGTCTTCTACAGAGGAAATTTTCATTCTGATTTTTGTATCATCTGCAAAGGATGACACAAAGCTGTGACTAGTATTTTTGTCTACATCCGAAATAAGAATGAGAAATAGTAGTGATGTAAGGACTGTGCACTGGGGTACAGAGCTTTTCACTGCACTTGGACTTGATCTTTTTTGACTGACTGTTATTCTATGTATTCTGTTTGACAGAAAGTTGAAATTCCAATGCCCCACTTTACATGTTATTCCTATTGATCTCATTTTATGGGCTATCACTCCATGGTCACACTTGTCAAATGCCTTTGCAAAGTACTGTATGTAAGTGAAAACAATAGCCTAAATTTCTAATACATTAGTACATATGCTTGTTATGCAAATTAAATACGTACATTTCAACATGCAAAATAACTTAAATTTCAAAAATAGCAAATTAACAATCACACTCGTCCCTTTTATTCATTGACTTACCATCTACTGGTTAGTTTCCATACATCTAATTATGTTCAAAGAATCTCTACATAAACTAAATTTGTGTTCAAGGTGAAATTAGCACATCTAATCCTACTGCATATTTACCAAAAAATAAGCAACAATAATTGCAAGACATACTATGATATGCAGATTAGATAGTTAAACCGAGGCTTTCGAACCTAGTCATAATACGATGGCTAGCTGTAACAATGGGGTATCTTGAGGATATCTTGAGATGATTTCGTGGATTAGCGTCCCCGCGGCCCGGTCCTCGACCAGGCCTCCTTTTTGTTACACATCCCTAGGAAGCAGCCTGTAGCAGCTATCTAACTCCAAGGTACCTATTTACTGCTAGATGAACAGGTGCATTAGGGTAAAAGATACTCTGCCCATTTGTTTCCGCCTCCATCGTGGATCGAACCTGGAACCTCAGGACTACGAATCCGAAGCACTGTCCACTCAGCTGTCAGGCCCAGGTATAACCTGACTACTTGGTAGATTGTTCACAGAGTTGTTTGCTGCACAGTTTGTTCATGTTCATTAAACCATGCCGCTGTCCGTTGTGTTTTGTATCCTTTTTGGAGGATTGTTTCTTCAGTAAATGATCATAAATCTCCTGCCCCCTGCGCCTCTGTGATGGGGCCAGGTTTTAGCCTCTGGTCTCTGATAGCCTATTAAGGACTCCTAGAACTCATTGATGAAACATATATGTGTGGAGCTCTCTTAGTGTGGCAAACAACAAAAAACCAGTGAGGCCCATTGAGAAAATGCTTTCATTAATGTTAAAAATGTTTTACTAATGATTTAAGCAATAATACTCTTTTGGATTTTGTCTCGCAGACCATTTTAGAGGAATCCATGCGTACCTGCAGCAGTGGAAGACAGCAAAAGAAACAGCTAAGTAATCTTTTTGTTGAGAAGAAGCGGCCACATCCAACACGTGATCCAGGCAAACAAATCTTCCTAGTTTCAAGAAATTTTATGGCAGCATGGAAAACTTATATCAGGTAATTTTGAATAAAATGTATTAAAACAAACATGTGATATTATATGACCACACTGAGGTTGAGTTTTATGGCCTCTAATGACAGAATCTAAAATCAGAAACATTCTTGCAATATGGAACACTGTAAAATATGGGTTTTGATGAAACATTTAAGAACAGGTTGCAATACCACTCTCTACAAATACCGTAAATCACCATTCGACCTGTGGTATAATAATAATCTCCAGTATAATATACTGTCAGGGAACATGTAATTTGAGTCACTTTGTAGCCATAGGTCAGTAAGTGGTGGTCCAATGCCAAATTAAGATTGAGATGGTGTGGGTGTGAATCTGTTCAGGTGTGGGTAGAAATAATGTAAATATGTTAAATCAGTAAGACTAAGTGTGGGAGTATGTGTATGTGTGGGCTGGTGGGTAGTCAGTCTGTAATTCAGTAGATAGTGTACTGTACTGCCCATAAGAACAGAATAGGTTGGTAAATGTGAGAGCAACATACTGCCAAGAAAAGTCAGAAATGGAGTCAGACAGGCAAAAAGTAAGCTAATCATTCAGTCACAGTTATCACTACTGTACATGGATGGTGAAATATTAAAGAAATTGTCCACAACCTTTGTGAAACCAAAGTTGGAATATGTAGCAGCTGTATGGTGCCTATATCTCAAGAAGATTTCATTAAACTTGTAAAGGTGGAAAGACATTAAATTACATGACTTCCAGAACTGAAAAACAAGAGCTACAAGGAGAAGTTCGAGGCATTAATATACCAAATATTATGACGTTTACTTTTGCAAGCAGAGTGGTAGAAGTCTGGAACAAGTTAAGTGAGGTGGCGGTGGAGGTGGAGGTCAAAACCATCCGTGGTGTCAAAATGTTATATGAGAGAGTACTGTGAAGAAAGGACACAATGAGTGTAGGTACCATCCTGTAATTACACTTAAGTAATTACTCTTACACCACCAGCCTTCAACTCTACAGACTCCTGCCACCCCCACCCCCCCTCTCTCCCCATCTTGCACCCTAACCCATCCCTGCCACCATCCACCACCAAATCAAAATACCCCAACCCCCATCCACTTGGACTCCCTATCCATCTCATGTTCTCCTGCTTGACACTTCTAATTGTGCTTATTGTAACAGAGTACATGGTGTACTGTCATCACAAGATTTAGGTAAAATTTAATGGGTACATCCAAGGCCCCATAAGAGCTCTGACATTTACTGTGACATCATAGCCACAGGTTATCCTATTATATAGCAGTTGTTTTTGTAATGATTAATCCTGCAACTCGGGAAGTATTATAATGCACAGTGAATACTGTATACTGTATTGTGGATTACTTGTATTTCAGGGCATGTGAACGGGGGGATTTGGAGGTGACTGCACCAGCTCAGCTGGAGAATGCCCCACTTCTTTGTACTCATAACCAACTTCTGTTCCCGGTCTTCAGTCTACAGCCACACCAGATGATTGAGTGAGTGTAATCCTTAACATAGATGTTATATGGAAATGCAGTATATTTATACAGCATAAATATTTTGCATTTCCTTTCTGTCCTTTCCAATGGCTGGAAAGGACAGATTAATGCTAGATCCCTTCCTCCACTATAGAACTTCATTTGCACTTGTTAATTTCTGCTGTTTTTTCCCATCTTCTGGAAGCAATCTCAGACTTCAAAACAGAGCACCGAGTTAAGCTTGTTCTCTTCTTGGCAGTTGAATTACAAATGAGCTCCTCTTCATCAATCAGACAGAAAGTTTTTAGGATTAAGTTACTGAGTGCTTCACTCATTGGTCTGATTTTCAGCACTCGTCCAATGATAACTAACCTTGAAGTTATCCCTCGCCATTGGCTCTGACGTGTCACATGACTGAATAATATCAGCCCCATTAACCCCTGGGCTGTGCTCCTGTTTATGTGATGCAACACCTTGGTGTTGCAAAGAAAAAAAATTTTTCCTTCTAATACTTTGTATTGTCAAAATGTGTTCTCTGATCACAGGAAAACAAAAATTGTGTATGACTTACTTTGGCTATGACAAATCTCAAAGTTTTGCAGTTTACAAACATTTATGCAGCATTCGTTCTGTGGAGGTCAATTTGGCCATGCAATGGGGTGGGATTTGCTGCTAAGATTTGTCTTTTTTTTCCTCTGTTTTTCCAATAATATTACTCAATAGTGTGTTATTTGAGAAATTTGTATACAAATGTGTGGAATATCAGAATGCTCAAATATATTTGCGTCACTAAATATTACAATATATCCTTAGAACAATAAAGCATATTGGTTTTTTATGTTATACACACTGGTGGTATTAATGAATGGTGTGATTCTAACACAAATCTTCTCAATATTTCTTATGTTTTTCTTCACCTTCAAGGGCAGTTGAAAAAATAACTCTCCAAAGTTCATTTTCATTTTATTTATGGTCTGATGCCTAGAAGCATTTTACAAGACACTTCTTACATTTTCAAAGATAATTTTACATTCTCTGTTGATGCTTATACAGGTACAGTATTTGTTTTTTGGATGAGGTGATACTAGGACATGAATCAATGGGTACAGTGCATGTTTTATCATCTTGCTTCTGTGTTAGTTCTGGGTTTTGAAGTGGGTAGAATGTAATTATGTGTTAATTGGCTGTTGATTGCTGGTTTTGTCTTTTTGATGTGTAGGGCCTTGCTGATGTAGAGTCTCCTGTTATCTTTGTATCTGTCAATAATTTCTGTGTTGCTTGTTAAGATTTCTCTGGTGATGGTCTGGTTGTGTGAGATGATTATATGCTCCTTGATGGAGCCCTGTTGTTTATGCAATGTTAATCGCCTGGAAAGAGACATTGTCTTGCCTATATACTGAGATCTTTGGGGCTGACAATCCCCAAGTGGGCATGTGAAGGCATAGACGACGTTGGTTTCTTTCAAGGCGTTCTGTTTGGTGTCTGGAGAGTTCTTCAGGAGTAGGTTGGCCATTTTCTTGTTTTTGTAGTAAATTGTTATTTGTATCTTCTGATTTGTGTCTGTTGGGATAACGTTCCTATTAATAATATCTTTCAGGACACTTTCCTCCATTTTATGAGCCGTCGAAAAGATTGTTTGCATGTAGGCCCCTCCTAACCACTCCACATACTTCGGTTGCCTTAGTGTGTTGTGCAGGCTCCTATGTCAGGTTAGGTCTGCGCTGGTGGGTTTTGACGGGTTCCTTTGGCATGGATATCCTACTTCCTTGTCGGGTCGTGGGTGCCGAGTTGTAAACCTGCTCGAACGAGGTGATCCTTGATGGACTTACCTCGCCTCCACGCAATCATTGGTGGATTTTGCGGGAAATTCTCCCAAGAGGGGTGGTCAGTGTATGTCTCCCTCACCCAGGCCCATACGTCGGAGAGTTTCTGTTTTAGTTTCCCTGCAAAACCAGGAAACATTGTCGCGTGGCTCAGATGGTGAAAATATATAGGTGGCTCATATAGGCCAACCCAACCATAGGGGCAGCAGCATTCACGACCTTGCTACACGGCCCCTAAGGCCAAATCAGTGGTTCCTGCAACCCTTTACATTCCAAAAACGACCAATCGGAGTATGTGAGGTCCCGTGGGCAGAGGACGTGGGGCTTAGCCGCGTGGGCCAAGTACCATTTCCTATCCTCTGGAGAGTACCTTTTTCTCGTACAGAAGTGTTATTACCTGTGTCTTTTTTTACCTTTATCATTAGTTGAGCAGGTGCATCTTCTCATTTTTTTTACGATATTTATATATATATATATATATATATATATATATATATATATATATATATATATATATATATATATATATATATATATATATATCTCTCTCTCTCTCTCTCTCTCTCTCTCTCTCTCTCTCTCTCTCTCTCTCTCTCTCTCTCTCTCTCTCTCTCTCTCTCTCTCTCTCTCTCTCTCTCTCTCTTCTCTCTCTCTCTCCCTCTCTCTCTCTCTCTCTCTCTCTTTTTCTCTCTCTCTCTCTCTCTATCTCTCTCTCTCTCCCTCGCTCTCTCTTCTCTCTCTCTCTCTCTCTCTCTCTCTCTCTCTCTCTCTCTCTCTCTCTCTCTCTCTCTCTCTCTCTCTCTCTTTTCTATTTCTCTCCCTCTCTCTCTCTCTCTCTCTCTCTCTCTCTCTCTCTCTCTCTCTCTTCTCTCTCTCTCTCTCTCTCTCTCTCTCTCTTTTCTATTTGTCTCTCTCGCTATCTCTCTTTTCTCTCTCTCTCTCTTCTCTCTCTCTCTCTCTCTCTCTCTCTCTCTCTCTCTCTCTCTCTCTCTCTCTCTATCTCTCTGTTCTCTTCTCTCTCTCTTTTCTCTTTTCTCTCTCTCTCTTTCTCTCTCCTCTCTCTCTCTCTCTCTCTCTCTCTCTATTCTCTCTCTCTCTCTCTCTCTCTCTCTCCCCTCTCTCTTCTCTCTCCTCTCTTCTTTCTTCTTTTTTTTTTTTTTTTTTTTTTTTTTTTTTTTTTTTTTTTTTATCATATATATATATCCCATACCCATCCTTCCTTCCTTCCTTCTTTTTTCAGCCACCGCCAGCCACCAGAAGTATTAATACAGTGGGTGTTGATCAACACACCTTAACACCGTATCACACATCATGAACATCACGCCATGATTTCTCTCCCCATTACAGTCCCTTCTGGCCACAACCCAACTCATCCAACCAACCACAGATATAATTAATGAGTTGTTTTGTGGGTTATCTTGCCACTTTCTTGCGCTTTCGACACGAGGGAAGGTAATGAGAGGTGTAGGGCATGTTAGTGGTGAGAAGTGAGCAGCGGCGGCGGCGTCCTAGTGCTCGCTCTACCCTTGAGGTTATCTTGAGATGATTTCGGGGCTTTAGTGTCCCCGCGGCCCGGTCCTCGACCAGGCCTCCACCCCCAGGAAGCAGCCCGTGACAGCTGACTAACACCCAGGTACCTATTTTACTGCTAGGTAACAGGGGCATAGGGTGAAAGAAACTCTGCCCATTGTTTCTCGCCGGCGCCTGGGATCGAACCCAGGACCACAGGATCACAAGTCCAGCGTGCTGTCCGCTCGGTCGACCGGTTCCCTTACTGGACTTTTAGTTTACTTTTTGAATTATTAGTCGAATCTGCTCTTAAAGTTGTGGATGGACGGAGCCGGTCGGCCGAGCGGACAGCACGCTGGACTTGTGATCCTGTGGTCCTGGGTTCGATCCCAGGCGCCGGGGAGAAACAATGGGCAGACTTTCTTTCACCCTATGCCCCTGTTACCTAGCAGTAAAATAGGTACCTGGGTGTTAGTCAGCTGTCACGGGCTGCTTCCTGGGGGTGGAGGCCTGGTCGAGGACCGGGCCGCGGGGACACTAAAAAGCCCCGAAATCATCTCAAGATAACCTCAAGATAGTCGACTTTGTTGTAACTATCTCGTGTGTCCTTTCTTTGTCTTCCATTTTCATTACCTTACACTTTATGGGGTTGGTTCTTAACCGTTGACGGCCCACACCTGGAGTTTGTCAAGGTCCTGCTGTTAGTCTGCAGTCCTGCTTCGTTTTACATTGTGGTTGGGGGGGGGGGGAGGGAGGGGGAGGTTGTGACTACTGTTTGGGCTACCTGCTGACGTACTCCACCCCCCTCCCCCCCCCTCTCCAGCAGTAATGTCTGCTCTCAAGCTGTTTTACAATCTTTCTTTAACGTGGTACTCTTCCTCTCACTCTCCTGGACTAATCTCATCATCCTTCAATCTCTACAACTCTCCTTTCTCTTGACTTGCTTCCCTTCCTCTTGGAGATTATTTCTCTTCATTTTTCCCTTCAGCGTCTCACTTTCCTGTTCTTACACTCTCCCTTCACACGCTACCGTGGTCCCTCGTCCCCTCCCTTCCTCACCCCATCACCCCACCCCCTCCCCACCCCCCCAATCCCTCCTCCCCACTTCCTCTTCCCTTCCTCACCCCTCCTCCCAGTTTCCTAACCCCCTACCCTTCCTCTCCTGTCTTCATCCCCCTTCCTCATCTCCACCCATCCTTCCCAACCACCCATCTTCACCTCTTCTTCAGCCCCCATACCTCCCCTCCTCGCCCCCATCCTTACCCCAACCCTTACCCTTCTATAACCCCCCCCCCCCCACGCCCTGTCTCCCTTTCTCCTCCCTTCCTGCGCCATCCATCTTGTGCGAGCGCTCAGCAGAAACGTTTTTATCCTCTTTTAGAAAACGTTTTTATCCCGTACTCCAGCCCCAGCCCCACCTACTACTGTACTCGTCTCCTCTTCCTCCTCTCTCTCTCTCTCTTCTCTCTCCTTCTACCTCCTCTTCCTCCTCTCTCTTCCCTCTCCTTCTACCTCCTCTTCCTCCTCTCTCTTCCCTCTCCTACCTTCTCCTCCCTCTCGCATTCCCCGTCTCATCCCACTTAACCTTTTCGGGGCAATAATGGAGAATGAGACGCGGGTTATTTGTATTTCCGAAATTAGTAGACTAATGACTGGCGTTGTGTAATTATGCTCGGGATGATGACTTCACCGGGGGCGACGCCCTGTCATCAGGGGGGAGGGGGGCAGGGGTGGTAAGGAAGTGTAGAGATGACGGCGCATCATAAGGGAGGGGAGGGGACGGGAGGGGGAGGAAGTAGAGAGGGAAGGGGCAAGAGAATAAAATGAGTAGAAGGCAGAGAGGGGGGGGGGGATATGGAGCATATTAGAGGAGGGATGCTGGGGGTAGACGGTGATATATATCGTCAGCTCGGAGCTTTCCTTACGCTGGCAGGGAGCAGTGACATGGGCAGACACCACATGAGGGACGGGGCGAGGCTGGTCCCGTCCAGGGACGGGGCGAGGCAGGTCCCGTCCAGGGACGGGGCGAGGCAGGTTCCGTCCAGGGACGGGGCGAGGCAGGTCCCGTCCAGGGACGGGGCGAGGCTGGTCCCGTCCAGGGACGGGGCGAGGCAGGTTCCGTCCAGGGACGGGGCGAGGCAGGTCCATCCAGGGACGGGGCGAGGCAGGTCCCGTCCAGGGACGGGTCGAGGCAGGATGGTGTTGTGTGGACATGTGTCCAGTTGGGAACAAGGCGGATGAGTTCTAATAGAGGACGCTAGCACTAGTTTACGACTATTGTAGCTAGACACATTTATATATCTATTTAAATATTACTTATTTGTGATTGAAGGTGCGAGTATCAAGTTACCAGTTGAGAAGCTGCTGGCATAATTGAGCAACTGGGAGCAGTCCCCGTGGCCTAGTGGTAAGACACTCGCCTGGCGTTTATCCAGCGCTTTGTCCTGGGTTCGTATCCTGGCTGGGGAGGATTGACTGGGAGCAAATCATTAACTGTAGCCTCTGTTTAACCCAACAGTAAAATGGGTACTTGGTTGTAAATCGATTTGGCGAGTCGTATTCCAGAGGACAGAGGATTAAGGACCTGTCCGAAACGCTACGCTACCAGACAGCCTGTCTAATATGCTGTGTGGTATTGGAGGAGACGCCGAGTCTCAACATGGAACTTTTCAAGGTACAGGAAAAGCTGTAACTATGTCGTTAAAAATGAACAAATCCACAAGGGCCGTGACGAGGGTTCGAACCTACGTCCGAGAGCATCCCAGACGCTGCCTTAATCGACTGAGCTTAATCGGCCCTTGTGGATGTGTTCATTTGATGCATCACGCTATTGTTATTTGTGAGTGTGACAGTTACACAGTGACGTGACCGGTAACATGAGTTACCCACAGACACAACTCTTACATAAGAGCTGTACAATATTCCAAGCGCTTTAAAGTAAGTTTCGCTACAAATTGTAAATATATTACCTGCCGCTGTCTCCACGTTCTCGTGTTAGGGGTTATCTTGAGATGATTTCGGGGCTTTAGTGTCCCCGCGACCTGGTCGAGGGGAAGCAGCCCGTGACAGCTGGCTAACACCCAGGTACCTATTTTACTGCTAGGTAACAGGGGCATAGGGTGAAAGAAACTCTGCCCATTGTTTCTCGCCGGCGCCTGGGATCGAACCCAGGACCACATGATCACAAGCCCCGCGTGCAGTCCGCTCGGCCGACCGACTCCCTGTAGCCTGAGAAGGGGTTGAGAAGGTTATAATTAACTTGGGAGGGTCTCTCTCTCGCCACACTTCCAGATCTGGATCCTGCGCTTTATAATTGTAAACATTATTTAGCAATAGTTATCATTGAGGTGTTCACTTAAGGTGGGCGAGAGTGAACATGTTCCCAAGTGGGCACTAAACCTTCCTTGCATCACCTAACACAGGCTACACACGTACACTCAAATGGGTTTTGGTTTAAGTCATAGTTGAGCAGATAATCCCAGGCGAGGAGCCTTGAAAGTGTTTTGTGGTCATTAACAGTTATATTGTATTTTGTTGTGAACAGTTACCTGGTGCTGGTGTGGGAGGAGGAGTGGGACATCTTGAAGGAGCACTACCCGCCTGACCACATCATTAGCGCCTCCTACAGCGACGCTGGCCTACTCCTCACGCAACCCAGTAAGTCTTGCATGTTTTAATCTCTTCTCTCTCGCCTCTTCACTTATGACATTCCTGTGTAATTCTCCAGAAGGAAGTATACTCCTTGTCTTATCTTTAATTTGCTTCTTGGGATGATGAGTTAGCCAAAGAATCTGCTTTTAAAGTTGATTATAATCTTGGATTGCCTATAAGCAGTCTGGGAACAATAATTTATCAAGAACTGCATCTGTTATCAATAATAGAACAGGGAGGAAGGGTGGACAGGGCCAGGGAGGAAGGGTGGACAGGGCCAGGGAGGAAGGGTGGACAGGGCCAGGGAGGAAGGGTGGACAGGGCCAGGGAGGAAGGGTGGACAGGGCCAGGGAGGAAGGGTGAACAGGGCCAGGGAGGAAGGGTGGACAGGGCCAGGGAGGAAGGGTGGACAGGGCCAGGGAGGAAGGGTGGACAGGGCCAGGGAGGAAGGGTGAACAGGGCCAGGGAGGAAGGGTGGACAGGGCCAGGGAGGAAGGGTGGACAGGGCCAGGGAGGAAGGGTGGACAGGGCCAGGGAGGAAGGGTGGACAGGGCCAGGGAGGAAGGGTGAACAGGGCCAGGGAGGAAGGGTGGACAGGGCCAGGGAGGAAGGGTGGACAGGGCCAGGGAGGAAGGGTGGACTGGGCCAGGGAGGAAGGGTGGACAGGGCCAGGGAGGAAGGGTGGACAGGGCCAGGGAGGAAGGGTGGACAGGGCCAGGGAGGACGGGTGGACAGGGCTAGAGAGGCCACCACCAACTTGCGACAAACTTGGAGAAGCTTTTTGTCTGTTTCCTATTCCTCTCCATCAGCCAGTGTTCTCTCTGCTCCTGAGAGAGGAGGAGGAGGAGTGTGGTCACGTGTATGGATGTGTGCACCAATTGTGATTGTCTGCGTGTACTGAACTGCCTGTAAGGTAACCTTCAGCTCTTGGGTCCTGCCTGCAAGGTAACCTTCAGCTCTTGGGTCCTGCCTGTAAGGTAACCTTCAGCTCTTGGGTCCTGCCTGTAAGGTAACCTTCAGCTCTTGGGTCCTGCCTGTAAGGTAACCTTCAGCTCTTGGGTCCTGCCTGTAAGGTAACCTTCAGCTCTTGGGTCCTGCCTGTAAGGTAACCTTCAGCTCTTGGGTCCTGCCTGTAAGGTAACCTTCAGCTCTTGGGTCCTGCCTGTAAGGTAACCTTCAGCTCTTGGGTCCTGCCTGTAAGGTAACCTTCAGCTCTTGGGTCCTGCCTGTAAGGTAACCTTCAGCTCTTGGGTCCTGCCTGTAAGGTAACCTTCAGCTCTTGGGTCCTGCCTGTAAGGTAACCTTCAGCTCTTGGGACCTGCCTGTAAGGTAACCTTCAGCTCTTGGGTCCTGCCTGTAAGGTAACCTTCAGCTCTTGGGTCCTGCCTGTAAGGTAACCTTCAGCTCTTGGGTCCTGCCTTTCAACAAAAAGTAGAATGGTTTATACCTACACGAACACTTTAGGGTTTTGTCGTACCTATAATTCAATCCGTACACGGAGTCTGTCTCCTCCTCTTTATTCAATCGTTAATTCCACTAATTTACAATAAGAATATCTTTATAATTTCTGGAAGGCTGCTACTGGTACTTAGGTAACTTCAGGGTCTCCCAGTTCGTGTTCCTTGCGAGTATAAGGAGCCTATCCTTTTTTACCTTCTAATCCTTACACTGCTCTAATTGCTTGAGAACGATTGGCCTAAATGCTCCAATCATGTGCCTTAGTTTCCATCCCGGGCATTTTATCTTGTCAAGCACAAGACGAAGCTGGAAAAAGTTCAGAGGTATGCCACTAGGCTAGTCCCAGAACTAAGAGGCATGAGTTACGAAGAAAGGCTGCGTGAAATGCACCTCGGGTCGCTGGAAGACAGGAGAGCTCGGGGGAGACATGATCACTACCTACAAAATTCTAAGAGGAATCGACAGGGTAGATAAAGATAAATTGTTTAACACGGAGGGTATGCGATTAAGGGGAGACATGGAAACTGAGTACCCAAATGAGCCACAGGGACGTTAGAAAGAACTTTTTCAGTGTCAGAGTAGTTAACGGATGGAATGCATTAGGCAGTGATGTGGTGGAGGCTGACTCCATACACAGTTTCAAATGTAGATATGATAGAGCCCAGTAGGCTCAGGAATCTGTACACCAGTTGATTGACAGTTGAGAGGCGGGACCGAAGAGCCAGAGCTCAACCCCCGCAATATTTCGTATGTTTTTCTCCATTGTCAAGGGAAGTTGAAAAATTAACTGTCCAAAAGTCCATTTTCACACTTTATAATTTTGGTCTGACGCGTAGTGATGCGTTGTGCAAAATCACTCCTTACATTCTCAAAGAGTAATTTACCATGCTTTTGCAAAGGCTTATATTCTGTTTGTGTGAGGTGGAAGAGAAGAAGCGGATGAATGGCATATCATAAGGGATATTAATAGAGTATTACACGCATCAACCTAAGCTGCTTATGTTCTTGCGGCTCCTGTCTGTGAGTTGGCTCGGGGTCTTGAAGTGGGTAGAATGTAATTATGTGTTAACTGCTTGTTGATTACTGCTCTTGACTTTTTGATGTGTAGCGCCTCGCTGATCTCCAGTCTCCTGTTGTCATTATACCTGTCGATTATTTTAGTGTTGCTTCTTAAGATGTCTCTGGTTACCTGGTTGATTACCTGCTTGATGGGGTTCTGGGAGTGGTTCTACTTCCCAAGCCCGGCTCGAGGCCAGGCTTGACTTGTGAGAGTTTGGTCCACCAGGCTGTTGCTTGGAGCGGCCCGCAGGCCCACATATACCTGCTTGATGGGGTTCTGGGAGTTCTTCTACTCCCCAAGCCCGGCCCGAGGCCAGGCTTGACTTGTGAGAGTTTGGTCCACCAGGCTGTTGCTTGGAGCGGCCCGCAGGCCCACATATACCTGGTTGATGAGGTTCTGGGAGTTCTTCTACTCCCCAAGCCCGGCCCGAGGCCAGGCTTGACTTGTGAGAGTTTGGTCCACCAGGCTGTTGCTTGGAGCAGCCCGCAGGCCCACATATACCTGCTTGATGGGGTTCTGGGAGTTCTTCTACTCCCCAAGCCCGGCCCGAGGCCAGGCTTGACTTGTGAGAGTTTGGTCAACTATGTTATGTCTTGTTGTGTGGAAACACACAGCGAGACCATCTTGTGTGTGGAAACACGCACAAGCAAGATAGAGAGTTTTGTGTTTTCCCCGCATACCATATTGTTGTGATTGGGGTGTATGTTGTGGAGAAGCCTGGAGAGTAGTAGAATGGTTGTGGGGGAATAATCCTGAGGAACAAAGCCAAGTGTTGTGGGTAGGATAAGAGAGGAAGGCTGGTGGTATTGGGGAGGAGGGCGGGTGTAGGGCCGCTGGCCTGCCACTGGTAAACTGATTACACAGTGACGGGGGAACTGGCCGGGTTTTCCCTCGCTTGATGATAGAGTCGAGTGGGCAATGGTCAGAGTAAGATGGATGGTAGCGTCAACTGGACTCGTTAAGGGAGAGGTTTCTTCTTGTAACTACACCATAGTTTCCTCCTGGATGTTGGCTCAGGTTGGTACCGACTACAATGTCTGCAACGGTTACACTCTCTCAATGTTAGCATCTTTCACCTAATTGAATGAGGAATTCGTGTACGTCTTGCAGGATTGTGTCTGATTTTCTCTCGAACACATTCACTTTTGTACCGGCAATATTTCTTATGTTTGATGGGAAGATATTGAATAGTTGTGTTATCTTGAGATTATCTTGAGATGGTTTCGGGGCTTTAGTGTCCCCGCGGCCCGGTCCTCGACCAGGCCTCCACCCCCAGGAAGCAGCCCGTGACTAACACCCAGGTACCTTTTTACTGCTAGGTAAAAGGGGCATAGGGTAAAAGAAACTCTGCCCATTGTTTCTCGCCGGCGCCTGGGATCGAGCCCAGGACCACAGGATCACAAGCCCAGCGTGCTGTCCGCTCGGCCGACCGACCGACTGTGTGCCTCTGATGTTCATACATTATCTGATGAGTGTACCAAAGTGTGTGGTTGACTGTAGGGCTTGTCGACGGCTGCTGTTTAAATAATAGGTAACAATATCAACAGCTGTGTGGAGGGCAGAAGGCACTACCACGGCGAAGGTGACGCTCGAGTCACTGGGGCTGAGGAAATAACAAAAGGAGAAACTTTGGGGATTTGGGTCATCAATGTTGGTAAGAGGAAAGAGATAAGGGGACAGTCCGCTGACTCCACGCTGCCCGCCCCTCACACCCCTGGCTCCTCGTGTCTCTACCAACACCTCCATGCTTAAAGCTTCGTCACAGTATCTCAGTCAATTATACAACAACAACAACTTGACAGTAGAATCTGTGGCGTGGATCACTACTCCAGACACTCCTCCATCAAGTGTGGCGTGGACCACTACTCCAGACACTCCTCCATCAAGTGTGGCGTGGATCACTACTCCAGACACTCCTCCATCAAGTGTGGCGTGGACCACTACTCCAGACACTCCTCCATCAAGTGTGGCGTGGACCACTACTCCAGACACTCCTCCATCAAGTGTGGCGTGGATCACTACTCCAGACACTCCTCCATCAAGTGTGGCGTGGACCACTACTCCAGACACTCCTCCATCAAGTGTGGCGTGGACCACTACTCCAGACACTCCTCCAGCAAGTGTGGCGTGGACCACTACTCCAGACACTCCTCCATCAAGTGTGGCGTGGACCACTACTCCAGACACTCCTCCATCAAGTGTGGCGTGGACCACTACTCCAGACACTCCTCCATCAAGTGTGGCGTGGACCACTACTCCAGACACTCCTCCATCAAGTGTGGCGTGGATCACTACTCCAGACACTCCTCCATCAAGTGTGGCGTGGACCACTACTCCAGACACTCATCCATCAAGTGTGGCGTGGACCACTACTCCAGACACTCCTCCATCAAGTGTGGCGTGGACCACTGCTCCAGACACTCCTCCATCAAGTGTGGCGTGTACCACTACTCCAGACACTCCTCCATCAAGTGTGGCGTGTACCACT